AACCTGCTAATAATAGGCTTGCTTTTTTTAGCTGCCTTTCACAGACTTGTTAGAAATGTCCCGTTGACCCTTCAGGGTTTTATAAACTAAGGGTTGGAAACTGCCCTGCTGATGGATGAATCTGCAGGAGACTGCCAAAAATTCTCAGCATAGCTGGGCTGTTTTGTTCCACTCCTGCTGATCAGATAAAGCTTTTTAGGCCTTGCAGGAGTCATTAGGAAAAAAAAAATATATGAATACTGATATTTCCTTATTATTCCTGCTAAAACTTGCTTTGTCAAATTTTGACAGGCTTGTTGTTAGATTTGGGCTGTGTGGAAGCATGGCAGGAGAAGCATAGGTAAATATCCTGTAAGTTAGAAAACACACTTTTTTCTGTTTCAAAGGAAGATTAAATATGCAGTGCTTTAATCAATGCAGTTTTATGTACAGAAAAATGAAAAAAACTTTAAACTGACCTCTCGCAGTTTCTATCTGTCTGGAGTTTGTTGGTTTTCTTTAAAGGGATAGCCTGTCCTGTGGATCTAGATTGCCTACTTTAGCTATCATGAGCATAACATGACTGGTTTATGTATGTTTGCTTCCTTTTGATGATGATAAAAAGTTAACTTGAGTGTTGTTTGTCAGCTCTCAAAATACTGTCAGTGAACTAACTCTCACACACACTCTGTGTGTGTCATAAAAGCTGTTCTGAAGTATCTGTTTGAAGAATGTAAAAACTGACAGCCTCCAAAAATGCCCATGATCTGCCCTGGTCTCATTCACTTCCCTCCCCTCCCTCCAAATTGTTTTCATGTAGTTGGCAGAACTTGAAATTCACTTAGTTCGTATGACAAAATGTAACCTCTTCCCAAAGTTTAATATTAATGGACTTCTAATAGAGGAAATGCAATATATGTAGTAATATGTAGTTATGCGAGCACCCATGCGCCTGACTTCACTGGCATGAGTAATTACATGAAAATCAGCAGGGTGGTGATGATGATGGCATTAAGCTTGGTGTAAGTTCTGTAACATCAAAACCTCAGGTAGCTTTCAGGTCCCCACAGGGTGAAGGCCCACATCGTTCGTTAGTTCATTCTTAACGTGTTCTGTGGCAGTCACAGGCCATTAAAAATACAATTTTGACGTGGCTTATGGCAGGTCAAAAGACAGTTACTTAATTTATATAGGGTGTAATAGCATATTTTGAGTGTTTATTATAGCAGGAAGTATGTATTAATTTATTTACATTTCTAATGTGTATATTACATGGGTTTTTGATTACTCCTGTGATGCCAAATGCCTTCCAGATAAAAAAGAAGTAAAGGTCTTTGCTGTGACATGTTGTTAAGCTAAATTGATGTGTGTGTTGTCATTGTATGTCACACTTACCTAGTGTCCTCTCTGGTAGCCTGACATTGTGATTAAGTCCTTAAGCCCTTTGCCTTCATTGTTTATGTATTGTTTGCTCCAGAGTGGGAGGGATTGACATGTTCCTTCTGTGTGTTATAAATTAAGTTCATATGCAGCATGATTGAAAGGCAAACCAGTTAGTGCAAGTTACTGCTTTACCCCTTACATTTTTTTTTTTTCTGTATTGTTTATGTGAAAATACCGGGTTGGACAACATAAACAAAACCAGTTTTTTGTCTATGTTTAGAACAAGGAATTAAAAAACCCCAACTAACCAGGTTGTGTAGAAGAGAAGCTGAGACTCTTAAGCTTCTGTAACTTGACCCTTAAGGTAATGTGTGCTAAAACACACATGTATTTCTCGAATAATTAATGATGTTTATGTACTGATTAATGATTTTTCATTTTGTTGCCTGATGATGCCTCTACAGCAAGCATTAAATAACAATTCTGTCCTCCGGCCAGAAGTCAGAATTGGAGTCCTGTGCTCTCTTAACCACTTCCTTACTGCAGTGTAGAAGAGTCCCCAGACTTTCAGACTGAGATGCCTCAAGGCTCCTTCCAGTTTCTTTCTCCTTAAACAGATACACAGCAATAGCTTGCTTTTTTTTTTTTTTTTTTTCTTTTCAATTTATCTCAATCATTTTTTTCTGAGAGAGAACTGTAGAACTCTTACTGGAGTGAAACTACTTCCTGAATTTGCAAGAGAGATCACTTTTTATTTGACTGCTGAAATGTGCTTTTCAGGACTAAACCCACAGTTTTAATCACAGGTATTTGTCTAGCTTTCAGTCAGTCTCTACTAATAGTGACCTTAAGGTGACTTGTCAAACTAATTCCTATGTTAAATAGGAGTTTGCTTTTCCTGTGACAGTTTCATTCCTTTGCTTTGGGAAACAAAAACTTGAGGGGGGGAGGGGAGGAGAAGGCTATGCAAGGTCTATGCAAAAAATCCTGAAAGTCTGTGTTCAGGACTATCCCAGTTTGTTACTGCACGTGATGTGTCAAGTCTGAGATTTTCATTTGAAAATCAACACGTAAATTACTGTTTTCTTTCTTATTTTTTAATGCAATACGATGTTACTGTCACTTAAACATTGTTGTCAGGCGTGAGTCTTTAATTCTGTCAGCTTTATTTTGAGCTGGCAAACCAGCATAACAATTTTAATAAGATTATTAAATAATGCAGTGGTGGTTAACTTGTTTCCTTGGAGGAGGGGAGGTCTTGAGTCTTTAAAATACTTGTGTGAATGTATGAATACATAAGCATCCTTACAGAAATTGTGAAAAACTGGGGAAAAGGTATGGATTTACTAGTAGGTATAGATACATCTGAACTTAGACCACCAGATTGTTTGGGTAATCACTGTTTCTGAAAATTATATAGCTTGTCTCTCTAAGTATCAGGAGTCATGAGGCTAAATTATAGCTGTGGTTAAAATACAAAGTAATTACAATGTGGTACTGTGAATGAGGAGGAGAGGGTTTTTGTGGTTTGGTTTCGTTTTTTTTTTTCTTGCCAAAGTAAATGAGATCTACACATGCAAGTTTTTATCTTGTTTTTTTCTGTTCTGTGTGATGTATGTATAAATACAAGACTGATATGCTTTACCATTAACCCATACAACTTTCTTCAGATTCATAAAACATTAAACTCTCTCACTTGGCAACATCCTAAATGCTAGAAGCAGAAATATAAGAAAATACCAAAATCTCCTAGTTTGTTTATACCAGTTATGTTAGAAAACAAATACTGCAAATGGTCTGCTTCATCCACTGCTGTGCAGCTGGGAACTTTGTGTTCCCGGCTTTTGCCTCTCACTGTGGCAATAGCAGTTCCTGTCAGCTCTCTTCCATGTCACCCGCACTAACGTGCACAAGCTCATCACTTCTGTGCTTGGATTTAATTAATCATCCCGCTCATTAATAACCTTCATCTTTGGCTTTGAGAGACTAATTGTCCTCTTACGAATTTGGTCCTCTTGAAATAACTGGAAAGCAAACTATCATCTTCCCTGTCTAGGTAGGGGCAATAGCATTGCAATTTAGGTTGGCATTATGCAGAATAGAGCTTTCTCCTTGTACCTGACAGGACTTAGCTGTAAAAGTTTGGACAGAAGTTTAAGGTCCTAGGTACTTTTGTGATCTTCTCACTGTTTTCTGTAAAATTTACCCATTTCCTATAGGCAACAGTGGGACTTTTTAAACAATTAAATGCAAAAATAACTTCAGTATAAACTCTTTTGGCAGAAAACATAATTAATGGTGAACGTTGTCTCCCTTTCTCTGAATTAAAATGGAAAAATGCACTTTTTCTTGGCAAAGAAATAGGAATAATCTTTGCATGTTGAAGTAGGAGGCTGAACCCTTCTGTTCAGGTATATGCAATTCCGTGTATTTGGTAGCAAAATTATTGTATCCGTTTTTGTAGAAGGTCTTTATGTAGAGATTGTATTGGTTTTGAGAGTTAAGAGCATTGTGCAAGTACCCTGTTAAGAAGTGTCTTTGGGAGAAGTTGCTGGGTGTATAAAGAGCCGCTTTCAAGGTGTAGCATTGCGGGTGTGCTCTAATGTTGAGTGCCCTACGTTCACAGTGCAGATTGATTGATCCCCTGCCAAAGTCTTCTGGGCACCTTTTTTGTTTTCTCAAATGCCTATGTTTGGTGGGAGTGACACTGAAACTGCAGTAAGGGCTGTGCATACCTGGAGTAAAGTTTCTGGCTCCAGGTCGGACCTTACTCTCTTGGTAGACAAGTTGCCTGCAGAGACAGGGAGGACAGGGCGGTGGCAGCAGATGTCATGTTAGTACCCTTATTAGAGTGGAGTGGAGTTAGATGGAAGTGCTAAAGGGGAAGTAAAACAAATACCATTGAGGGATGGAGCAGAGGTGGTGGGAGAAGCGTGGCAAAACAGAAAACTTACAAGGGATGTAAGGCCAAAGAAGAACACGAGAATGGGTGACAGCTGTTTTTTGGGAAGAGCATCCTCCAGCCAAGACTATAAATTCTTGTCAAGATCTTTGCCTGGGTTGCTTTTTCAGCAGTTCCTGCCACTATAACTCTGCCATGGTTTGTTTTTGCACTTTTCCTCCAAAGCTGTGAGTCAATGGTTAAGGAGAAGGGAAACCTCTTCCACTTACTAAGCTTCCCACTACCTGTAGGAGAGACCCTTCCTTTCCTCAGTCTGAGGGAGCAAAAAGGGACCCTGCCAGCTGTGCCAGGTCTTATGTTTTTTCCTCTCCTGACAACGTCCAGTTCTTGATTCAGTTCCTGCTGTGGTGGCTACTGTTGGTGACCTACCTGATCGCTTTCTCTTAATTACAGTGCTTGTTGCTTTTCCTCGGGGTGGGGAGTGGAAGTGGTACACCTGTGGATTTAATGTGTATTTAAGCAGGTCTTAAAAGCACTTAGAGAGTCTTCAGAGTAAGAAGTGTTCTGATAAGTGCAAGAGTCTGGTTTCCAAATCCATTGTTTTGTGTTTATTTATTTTGCTTTTTCAACTCACTCTCTGCAGTTTGGAGGTTCCCGCATGATCCCCATGCCTTTATAGGAACGGAGGCCTATGTGTCTTGCAAGGCAGTGAACACTGTTTCTGACTCTCTTTCAGATGCAAGTATGGACATAATAGCCTATGATGATTACTCCAGTCCACCGCTTCAGAGATATTGAAAGGAAACCTGAATACCTCCAGCCAGAAAAGTGTGTTCCACCTCCTAGCCGTGCTTCCCTGGGAACAATGTGGTTTATTCGAGATGGCTGTGGTATTGCATGTGCTGTCGTTACCTGGATGCTGGTGTTCTATGCCGACTTTGTAGTCCTTCTTGTCATGCTAGTTCCATCAAGAGATTATGTTTATAGTGTCATCAATGGCACACTGTTCAACACCTTGGCTTTCCTCGCTTTGGCTTCACATTTTCGTGCTATGCTGACAGATCCAGTAAGTATATCTCTCTCTGTATGTCTCGGAAAGAAACAGGCGGTGTTTTCTTGTCTGCTAGATGTTGGGTAACTCAGTTGCAGAGTGAGTGGCAGATTTAAATAACTTTTGTGTGTCAGCCTGCTGAGTGAGGCTGCTGATGTGTTATGCTAATTTCTCATCCCACTCAAGTCAGATGCAAAGTCAGGGACCCAGCTTTAGATTCCCATTGTGTGAGCAGCTCCTCTTCTTGCGCTGGGAAGGAGAGTGTTTCTCTCTGATGCTGTTTTCTCCCCAGTGGCAGATCTCATGTTTGTGGCTTGTCCTGTCTTGACAAACAGGAAAGCTGGAAAAGCTGGTTTTGGTTGTCTGCCTTGGCAAGTATTGCTTCAGCAGAACAGAGCAGAACATGTGGTGTTTTGAAAAGCCATGTTACCATCTCTCATAGTAGTGATTTAGTTGAGTGTATTGGACCATGCTGAAATAAATGTTATGTGAGCACGCTAAGAGGTGACAGTTCTTAGGCAAGTGGGAAGCATCAGAGTTGTAAGACCCCCTTGCATGTCTCTGTAGGACATTGCTTTGCAAGAGATCTGGTTTGCTGCTTTCTCGTCTTTCAGCTGGTGAGACAGTACAGTTTAGTACCATGATGCTTATTCTGAGCGGCCTGTGGTGGTTTATTTTGCTTAATTACCTCCGGACAGTAGATTCAGTTCAAAACTCCATCTCCACTAGTCAGTGGAAGGAAAAACAAACTTAGATTCCTCCTGGTCCCTTCCTCCTGAGTGTTCTTGTTGCTGTTGAGAGTGACAGTGTGCTTCTGATACTCTAATTATTCCTGCCAAATGTCATTTCCTACTTGAAACCTTTTTGGGTGCCATTAAAACTTCAATGTAATCTTTGTTTCTTAGTTTCCAGTTCTACTAGAAGCCACAGCGCTGCAGAAATGGCTTGATTTGGGGTAATTTCACAGTTTATGGTAAAGACTGATGAATTGCATGCTGCTGCTGCTGCTGGGCAGAACTGTAAGCAGTAGGTGAGGATATGAAACTTCTGATCATTAGACTGGGGAATAGAGGTTGCAGCAATTTGTTACATAGTTTGTATCCTAGGGGTTTGTGGTAGTGATGTTGTTAATTATTGTGTGTTGTGTGGCTTTAATGCCTAGGGACCTTCAGGTCACAGGAATTATTTTGCAGAGTTAGCAGGAACTCTTCTGAAACAAAAGCTGTATTCTGAAGCAGGCTGGGCAAGCAATGTTGGAGAAGCAGATACAATCTCTGTGCAGAGCAATTGGGAAAAGATATGTTAATTCCTAGTGTGAGGTGGGATTTATGTGTGTGGATGGTAAGAGCCAGTGGGATTTTGTTTTCTTTTTTTATGAGGAAACCAGCTAAACAAAATGGAGAAGGGAAGATAAAATGAGGGGATGCAGCAATATCTGACAGTGTGAGTCAGGGATGAAGGAAGTTGCTGGGATGTGGGAAACCAGGGGCACGTCTAGGATCAGAATGAAACGGAAGGCACTGCTGAGGCAAACAAATAGAGTATTTATTATAAATAAACGAACATCTGAATTCTTCAGAATTGGTAGCATGTATCATGCTTTTCAGGAACTGCGTCCTGTGGGTTCTTGCTAAAAACATGCCTAAGGTTTTGAGCTTTGCTGTGTACTAAAGAGAAAGAATATTGGTCTTGGTAATTTTTAAATTGGTCAGACTTGGTGAGTTTTGTAGAAAAACTCAAAGATTGCTCAAGAAAGCATTACAGTATTGGCTTAATGTGCAGTTCTCTCACTGATGTGTATTATTCCTGTTTATTGCTGTTAGGAGGTTGTATAGATGTGTTAAAAAGAGACTGTTCCATCGGCAATCTGTTAAAATATTACATCCATGTTTTTATTTCAGTATAAAAACCTCACCTCCACAGAGGTGCATTTCTACCAGTGTACCAGCACTGATTTCATACAGCACATTGTATGACTCTTTTTGGTTTTGCTGTTTTGGGGGGTTTTTTGAGCAAATTTATGGCCCTAGAAGGGCTGAAAACTCCTGAACGCAGGTTCCTGCAGCAGCAATACATTACCTGTTTAAAGACACATATTTTAGGCTGAAATTACACAGCTAAGAATGTTCTACCTAGTCTTATTCAGGTGGGAGGATTCTTAGTGGTCACTGTTTGAATGTTAAACCCTAATTTAAGTAACAAATACACAATGGAAGCATAGCTATAAATACGTGAGGCATTTACCAGCAACTCTTAGTATACTTCAGAAGTAGCTGCTTCTACTGGAATACATCATCTGCAGTTTCCAGTTTGTGATATGAAACACTGGCTTGATAAATTTGTTGATAGATGTGAAGGAAGGGATGAGGATTCTCAAATATTTTAAGGTTAGTATAGAATTACAAAAGACTAATTGCTTAAGTGAGGATTTACTTGTTTAAAGAAAAAACAAACAAACAAACCAACCACCAAAATGATATTTAAGTATGTGGTTCCATACATTATGACCTCATTTTAATTTCTTTCCTGAATCTTCTTGCTCTTCCTGAAACTCTCTTGGTCTTAGGGAAGATTTTATTTCTTTCCCTCCCCTCCCATAGTTTTAAGTAATCCTATTGTTCTTAGCACTTTTAGTATCCACAGGTTAATCTTCTGGTTGGTTTTTTTTTTTTTTTTTCTTCCTGCAGGGTGCTGTACCCAAAGGTAATGCCACAAAAGAGTTCATCGAGAGTTTACAGCTAAAGCCAGGGCAGGTGGTTTACAAGTGCCCAAAGTGTTGTAGCATCAAACCTGACAGAGCACATCACTGCAGGTAAAGTTTTTTTCTGAGGATTGCTCTTTTATCAAAACCTCAACAACAGTGCACCTTGATCTAAATTGTTACTGTAGTCTGAGACTGGAGTGGTTAAACTGAGAGTCTGGCATCTGAATTCTGTTGCCAATAGTGCCAGACATGTTTGAGCTTCTCTGAAAAAAATCTGAGGCCTTTTCTGACAAGTTTTCATCTACAGCAGTCTGGGGCGAATTCTTGCAAACGGAGAAATACTTAAAATGAATGCTACCTTGACTCCAGACCTGTAATTGACATTCCATAAATTTTCATGTAAATGTGACTTAAAAAGAGACATTATATACCAGAATGCATAGAAATCCATATAATGTAATAGCTCTCAAAAGGTCAGTGTCCTTTCTATTTTTGTTTTTATTCACAAACCCATTTGTCTAACTGTAGATTCTATTTAGAAGTGGTATTTAAGTTAAAACTAAAGTTCAGGTAACTATGTATTTTTTTAAGAGTTTAGACATCCACATTTTCACTTAGTACTGTGGCTTTGCTTTGTGTTTTGTGATAGATCAGTATGCCTACTGATCTGTCATGTCCTTTCTTTCTCTGGTAGGATCCCTGAAGAGAGTAACTGGTAGTGAGCTTTTTAGTACTAAAGGCAGTGAGCAAAAAAAAATAAACTACTTCCTAAAATTCTCTTCCACTTTTAAAGCAAGCGAACCTGCTTTCCAGTAAGTAGTTAATGAGTTTGCACTGGTGTCCCTTCCTTACCTAGTCAAAAACCAACATATAACTGAGAGAGCTTGTGTCAGGGTTATGGCTAATTCATGCAGGGGTCTTGTGGGAAGGGGAATAGTTAGCACTGAGCTGAGCAAACTTGTTCTGCTGTTTGCATTTCTCATATTTATTTGCAGAGCTTCAATTTGCAAATGTTTTTCTTTTTTCGTTGTTTGTTTTTTTATTTTAATCAAAATCAAGAGCTGGTTATTCAGCAGGAGCAATGTGATCGTGCCTATCACTTATTAATGCTACTGTAAAATCCCCTCTGACACTTCTTCAATTATGAATGAAACTTCGCATCTAAAATGCTGTCTTTCTGATGACTCAGAGCATAGGTAAATGAAAAAGGCTCTGGCTAAACTCAAAACCTCATCTCCATGGTCCTTTTTCTATTCTTTAAGATTACTTTTTAGACATTAAGATTTGGGAAACTGATCCACTGAGCACTGATGCTGTTGATAATCTTCAAACATTTTTTTTTTTGGTGGGGTCAGGGTATTTACTGGACTTTCACGCATCAAGGTTGTGCATATGCATCAGCAGGCAGTACTGCTAGCTGGGTGCCTGAGGGACCAGAGTGCTTTTTGATTCGTATGCTATTTTGTGAGTCCCCCATGCCCAACAAAGTATGCATGCCAGCATTTGGAAGCTGGGTGGTTGAGCGGTGGGAGAGTGTCTGAGGATGGGTAATCCCTGCTGTCTATCGTTTCCAGTCTTAGTTTCTGTGTCTCCTTTTCCACCAGCTAGTTTCATGTTCTGCCTGTCATCCAACTGGTTTTGGTATGTATGCATGGAATAAAACCTCTCTTCTCAGCCTTAGCTACCTCTTTCACAGAGGTCTTCTTTGCCTTGGCTGCTTCAGGTTGTTGCCCTGGGGAGCTGGGCCCCAGGAGCAAACGAAGGGGTTGCTTGGGTATTGCCTGTTTCAGAGCCCAAGGGATGTGTGTGCGCGTCTGCACGCAATAAATTAGACCACAGGGAGGCATCCTCCTGCTTTACACCACCTGCCCTGCCTTCCCCCTTCCCCCTCCCTCTTTTTTTTTTTTTTTAAACCAGTATGAGGTATGACATTTTCTGGCAGATAAATTGTTTTTACTGTGCCAGCTGATTTTAGTCCCCATGTAGCTCAAAAATCATTTCTAGCTGCTTATTCTAGCAAAACGAGGCTTTTCCTGTTGCCCACTGCACCTGGGGCGGGCAGGGAACGGGGTACCCGGGCCTGCCTGAGGAGAAGCTGCTCCTGGTCTGGCCCTGTGCTGGGAGGCTGGGGCCTGCCTGACCAACCTTTCATTTTTAGGATCAGGGCTATAGCAGCTCATTTGTTTTTCAGGCATGGCACGTATCCTTGGGGATTACACCCTCCCACCACGTAGAGTGAGCGCAAGGCTGTTCTGAAGGAGGGGTTTTCTATTATTTATTCATATGTGCTCATAGGAATGTGTTTATGGTTTTGTTTGAGTTTCCCTTAAGCATTTGGGTGTTGAAGTTTGTTTATGTTAAGGTCAACATATTTTTTGTTATAAGAAAAATAAAATTAGCAGAGCCCTCGATCCTTTCTGTTTCAGTGTTGCCAGAATTGTTCTGGAATGGCTGTTTCCTTTCTTGGGCTATTGTTCGTCTGTTTTGGGGTTTTGTGTTTTTTTCATATTTGATTTCTGTGCTTGTTTGTGCAATGTGGTATCAGGAGACTGCCTTTTGTCTCCTATCATGAGAAAGCAGCAGAGAAAAAGACTTCCTTTATTATGTGAGTTGAAGCAGTTACTGACTAAGCAAGAGACTGATGTTCAGACAAAGTAATAATCTTTTAATTATTTGACTTCGAGCCACAGTGTGCGTGCTGGCAAGAATTTGAATTTTGATTTTATTAGTCTGTTTTTGTGAAGTGCTCTAATTTTACCTTGAATGTATATTGTGATACTGTCTTCCTGACTGACTGCCACAGCTCTTTTATGCTAGTATGTGGCTTACCTTGATGTCAAGAGCCTTTTGTAATGCATTATTTAATTTTGTTTTTTGCAAGTTCCTGCAACCAGTTAATGTCTGTAAATAAACCTTAGTCTGTTATTAGCAACGCTGAAAAAATCTTCATTCATTGCTGTTTTTCATATCTTTCTGATTTTCGTTTGGTTTTAATCTGTGGATATTTTCACAGACCAACTAAGTTAAAACTAAAATAAATCACAGATTTTTTTCCATTTGAGTGAACGTATTGTTCAGATAGTATTTTGGCAAAACCACTGATGTGAATATTATGCTAAGGTGTCTTACTTGGCATTAATTTTTTACAGTGGTGATCTGGTATTGTATGGTCCGTGTTGAACAGACATACTTAAGTGACCAAACCACAAATACAAATGTGGTGACAAGTAAATTTGTTTCGGTTCAAATTTCACCTCTGATTCTTTCCTTTAATTTCTGTGTCCCCCAAGCCCCTGTGAAATCTTGTGTTCCCGGAATGAAATGTGACCTGTATTCTTTCAGTGTTTGCAAGAGGTGTATTCGGAAAATGGACCATCACTGCCCGTGGGTCAATAACTGTGTAGGAGAGAATAACCAGAAGTACTTTGTACTGTTTACAGTAAGTATTTTGGAGGTGATGTTTGAGGGTGTGCGGTGGGCAGCGCTGAAATGCTGCGTGTGTAGTCTGTGAAGCAGCTCGGGAGGCTGGCTTTCTCTTGTTTCCTCTTTTAGAACTTTACAAGGAACTGTAGCAGACTTCTGTTTCACTAATTAGGGAACACACACACACACGACACAACAACGGGAAAAAGGCATCGCAGGAAGTGTTTGCCAGGGTTTTGTGAGGTGGTTGTGTTGTGGTGACAGCACCTATTTCATAATGTGAGGCGTTTATTGTGGCGTTGAGCTCTGTGAGGCGTGGGCCATCCTTTTACATCGTACTGTGGCTGGTAGGATCCCAGGCCATATGTAGGGTTTCTAAATGTTGTAGTTGTATGAGTACCTGTGTGGGATCATATAATAAGAGCTGTTGCCACATCTTAAGCGAGGAGTGGGAAGTCTGCATCCCCTTTGGCAAGAATTATCCACCTTTTACTTGCAAGTGGTTTATTTTTGTACTTGAAAACCAAGGAGGTGTTTGACTTTTTGTACTATATCTGTGGCATCGTGAGTAAGAAAACGGGAGTGCAAACTTGAATACTACGTATTTCTGAAAGGGTTGAAATCTGTTTCATCAAAGTGATCTGCAAATATTCCGTGGGAGTAGCGTGAACATTACAAGGCTGAGTTTCAGTGATGCTCTGTTTTATTAATAAATCTTTTGAGACATCTGTAGGTTCAAGGAAGAACGTTCTCATATTACCAAGTAACAAGGGGGAGATTTTCAGTTAAATGGAAAGGCTTACTGTTCTTTGGTGTGGTTTGTTAGGATGTGGATTACAGAACAAAATGAATCCTGTTGTTTTGTTTTTTTTTTTTTCCCTCGAGCAAGGTTTTTTTTTCACCATAAGTTGAGAGCTAGACGTTTTAAACCTAAGGAAAGGATTTCTTTTTCTGTTAAAACTGACATCTACTTTGAAGCAGGCATTATTAAACACTTAATGTGGTTGAGATAAACAAAATAAGGGTTGCTGGTTTTCTTCATTATTCTTTTTGAGACCTGAGGAGGTGAAAAAATGGCAGCATGCTCAACTTGCAAGGAAAAACAAAATAGTCTCCTATCATCTTTTACTGCTTCCGCAGAGGTTTCTTGTAACAAAATCTCTCTCACATCTAATATCTGCCGGTCTTTATCAGAGTCTGTAGGTTCAGGAGAATCATCTTTTTAGCCCTGTCTTGGTAAATTGTAGTGTATGTGTAGCATTTTGTTACAAATCTAAGACCTAATTTAAAACAAAAAGGATTAAGTACAAAGTATTAAAGCTTGAGAGGAACTTTCCATGCCACTGTCTGCCTCAGGAAAAAATAGTTATTAAAAAAAAAAAAAAAAATTACCATTTTTCTGAAACTCATGCTGGAAAATAAAGAGCATTTTGCAGTTAAAACGAATTAGCTGTTGTTTCGCTGGGAATCCATAGTGCTCTCAAGAGCAAGTGTGTGAGCTTTGACACGATGGTACCTCGATGCCAGAGTGCCGCTGTGCTCGGCGCAGCTGAGGACAGGCCGCCGTGTGAGGGCCGCGCCGGGGGCTGGCGTTTATGTCCAGCTGGCTTGGAATTGAGGAGTCTCCTGCCAGTTCACTCAGAGCTGTTGGTAGGGCCGGAATGAGTCCATGTAGTCTTGGCGTTTGCCAGCTTCGGGGTGCTTGTTTAGGAGGGATGGGAGGGCTTGACTTTTAGGGTGGTTTGTGTTTTGCAGGTTGGTTTGTTTTTGTTTTTTTTTTTTAAGTCTTAACGCTTTGCTTTATTTAAAGCACTTGGAAGATGTAGCATTTTGGTCTTTAAACTCACCCGATACTTATATTACATCCTTTATTTTTCAGATGTATATAGCACTGATTTCCCTGCATGCTCTAATCATGGTGGGATTTCACTTCTTGTATTGCTTTGAAGAAGACTGGACAAGTGAGTACTAACAAAATACCTCATTAAAATACTGGGTTAGCCTATGAATAAGACCTTATAATGTAGTTTGGTTGTAAGGCAACCCTTTTTCATGCTGCTATCAGGGCTCTGCTGTGCTATCTATTTTTTTTAATGATCAATCCTGCAACTTCATAATTCTTTCTCACCTGCTGGGATCTCTGTCCTGAAAAGTCCTGTTTCAACTTAAGCCTGGTACTACCTAGGAAGAAGCAGAGGTGTAAAGACACCTAGATAGTATGTGTGAAATAATTTGCTGTTGACATGAACACAGCACTGATTTCCTGAATGACAATACAAGATAACAAGAATGTGCATGTTTTTCTTTTAAAGGGTAATGTGAATCATTCTTGCAAGACAGCCAGGAAAACATGCTAACTCAGATCCAAAATCCACCCTCACAAGAACAAACAATTCCTTTCCACTAAAAAAACCCCAAAACAACCCCTAACAAACAAACAAAAGAAAAACCAGCCCTCACTCTGGAGCAGCCAGTGAGTAAATTTTCACAAAGGCAGTTGAGATGTGTTTTTTAGAAACACAAATGGAAATAGGAAATCCTCTAGGCAATACTGAGTCAAACAGCAAGCTGTCAAAGAGTATGTGTGCAGATGTATATGCTGCTTGTGGATTTTTTGGAAGCACATTAGCTTAGTTTTCCTTCTTCCTTAGTTTATAATACTGCAGAGGATGGGTACGTTTACACATGTAAACTGAATTTGACAACAGGATTTTGTAAAACAGCTGTCACTGAGAACGTCTGGATTTGACTACAGTGGCCAGGGCCATACGGGAAGGATACATCAGAAGATAGAGTTTCCTTTGCCCCCTTTCTCAGAACTTGTGTCGGTGGGGGAAGCACTTTCCCGCCTGTCACAGGTTTAGGTGGCAGAACAGAGCTGTTATGAGATGGATCTGTTGTTCCAGCTGCCTTGGATTTGTGCTGATTGTCTTAGCCCTTGATTACGGTGCACCTGTTAAAGCTTAACTTCTCATGAGAAAAATAGTTTTGTTGGTGATACTCATTCCTGAATTTCAGAAAAATCTGAATGTTCTGACATATACAACATTCAACTCAACACTATGATTTTTGTCCTAGAATATTTTCCTTCCTCTTCCTTTCTTCCGTTCCTCTTTTATAGTTACCTTCTCAGATTTTTTTCAGCGCTTGCTTGAGTTTGCACTATAGAGTATGAGGAAAAGTAAGAGTTTGGCTTAATCTGCTCTTCTTTAGGTTGTGATTTAGAACAGTTACGAAAGGAAGCATACTCAGGTTTTATGTTGGTGCTACAGAAATAATTACCATTGTGTCCTGACCACCAGCTAGAGATTTCTGATGCGCTTTATCACTGTGGAAAATCTGTTAAGATTAAGGTTGAAGAGAGAAGCTACAGGTGGAGTGGAGTCCTAGCCAGTGTGCTGGGGAAACACCAAAGTGGAAAGTTGCATTCTTGAAGTGCTGCAGGGGTTTTTTTATTTTTGCATTTTTTATAAGCCTGCAGGAGTGATAATTTCATTGTTGAATATCCTTGAGAATGCCAGAGTTTCCCGGTGCACCTTTATGAGAATGTTGATAATATGATTTATTTTGACAGTTTGAGTGTGGAAAACTTGTGGCTTAGCAGGTGTTTTTCAGCTGCTGCACTACCTGATCTCTCCCCTTCCAACTCCATTGTTTTGTCTTCACAGAATGCAGTTCCTTCTCTCCACCAACTACAGTGATTCTTCTCATCCTCTTGTGTTTTGAGGCTCTCCTGTTTCTCATCTTCACCTCGGTTATGTTTGGGACCCAAGTACACTCCATCTGCACTGATGAAACGGTGGGTGTCTCACGCACTCTCTCCTTTACCCCGTCTCCCACCATTTGTAGAAACAGTGGAAGGCTACAGGGTTTTACCTCATTGCCCGGGGAGTTCATGTGTGTGTGCCCTTTGAGGAAAGATCCAATGTAATAAAGCGAGCTAGCGCAGGGCTGGATTGTGCTCTTTGAAGGTTACTGTGAGAAGCAGGGTACGCCTGTATGTAGTGGCTGGAATGCTGTGTTGACAGTACCACTGGCAAGGTAGGCATTGGTAATGGGGATTACTCTGTAGAGAGTATTTGTCCCTGTGGATTTGAGAATCTTTTTCCTTTAATGAAGTGCTTTTACATTGGTATTGTCTGAAATTCAGCTGTGTGTCCCCTGGTGTCACTATTTACAGCTTTATGTGCTGGAAAGCCAAGATGAGTAGGTGAGGGAGGGATACACACACACACACACACACGCACGCATATTGTTTAGTTTAGAAGATTTCCAGTTTTAACTGCTTGTTAAACAGTTCAAAAACTCTTGCCAAAGGGAAAAAAGGAAAGGGAGTAGAGTAGGCTCATGGAAACCTGCTGGGTGCAATCTGCTGCAAAGTCACCATGTCGTTCCCAATTTAAAGATGGTGTAGTAGAGGTTACACAGTAGTGTTGCAGACCGTCGTATATCCCTCCCTGCATTTGCCCACTTCTGTAAAGATGGAGCTGGTGACTCCTGGGGATGGATGTTCCCACACTTGTGAGTACTGCCGGCCTTCACCAAGCATGCTCAGATATCTGAATTTAACTGGAGTGGTTGAAGAGAAGTGATAGTCTTAAAAGAGTGCCAACTCTTATTTCCTCCCCTGCCTCCTTTAGTTTTATTTCCCCTTCCCTTGGTTGCCCATGGCCAACTGAAACTAAAATAGGTATTTTTGCTGCCACTGGAGAGCTGTGACTGGCATTATAGGCTGTAAGAGCCCATTGCTCCTGAGTCTTTTTTGCAGTACTTTTTTAATGCTTCGCTTCTGCAAGAAGCTGATGTTCATGCTGTGGCTCTTCTGTGTTCAGAAGAAGCTGTTCTTTCTGCTGGGGAGAGCCCCAGGGGGAAGTACAGCAACACAGAACAACCCTGCGGAGCTTGAGTTTATCAGTAAATAAATTAACAATGCTGCCTGTGAATTCATCATCTGAATTGCTCAGCCTTTGAAACCTATCAACAGTTTTTAGAAGCTGCTTCCTTACAGCTGGGCACCCAGATAAGTCCCCTGATTTTTCCCTTCCCCTCAAGTTCTGGGAACTCATAGATGTTAAAGGAACAATGCCACAATTTAAAAAAAAAAAAAAAAAGAAATATGGTCTCCCCTGTTGGATTGTGGGTTTTCATTTTTTTTTTTTCTTTTTCAATATGTACCAATAAGGGTTTTGCTCTGTGGAAGGCCTCATTGATTTGCTAGCATTGAGGTAGCTGTGTCTGGCAAGCAATCTGTTTTGAGCAGAGAAGTATTTCCAGGTGAAATTCTTCCTGGTGTAGTCTCTTGCAGTGTTTTACTCCACATTTTAGAGACAGGGCTGTGTCTTGCCCTTTTTCACCTTCCTCTTCCAGTCACTGGGAGACCTCATTTCCCATCTTGTGTACGCTGTCCCACCGGGATGGTTCCTTTCTGCCCGAAGGGACCCGGGACCCTCATATTTTGCTGTTGGCTCTAGAGATGACATTTGCCAGGGATCAGCACGGCTCTTGCAGTTGACGCATGTTGTGTTCTGCAGAGCTCCCAGAATCAGTAATTTGAGACACAGAGATGTATTACAGTGCATTAATCTGTAGCATGGGAGAGACGCGTAGGTCAAGAGAAACTTACCTTGCAAAAGATCCAAAGTTAAAGAACAGAGTGATCTGCCTGCTGCTGCTACCTGTGGAAGAGTAATGCTCTCCAGTGACTGCACTTGGCTGCCACAGAAGCAAAACGACCAGGCATAGCTTTCCTGAAAGACCAAATTCACTTTGTGGGCTTTAGAAACAATACAGATAATTTTTTTTTATTATTTTTAATGATTGAATAGTGAATGTTTCAGCTGATTGCTTGATGGCTTTGTTTTGTTCTCCCTCTAACCTTTACTAAACAATGCCGATGATTTCTCTCAAATCGGTATCTTATTTAACCCTTTCTCCCTGCTGTCAGCCCATGCATGTTTTAGCAGTGATTCTAATGAAACATGAAGAGGCACCAGGTAGAATCAGCTACACTGAGCCACGGGCACTTCCTGAACTTGCTTGGTGAATCTGGAAGCATTATAGAGATTATCTTTGGGTTTGTGTTTGGTTTTCAGTTGTTTGGGTTTTTTTTTTTTTTTTTTTTTTTTTTTTTTTCTTCAAGCTTATAAATGGCTTCCTCTAAAACTTTTCCATCTGGTTAGCACGTAATGCCTTCAGCCATTAAAGTACGTACTTTTTTTGTTTGGTTCTAGGTGGTGGGGTTTTTTTAATTGACATCAGAGGCAATTGGATGGCAGGTCTTAAAAGGTTTATGAAATATCTAGGCCTGAACAAAATGAAAATAATTACGTTTCCAAGGAATACTCCTATGCTTAACATTTTTTTAGTATAAAACGGTGAGAAGAAAAGGAAAGGCAGTCTAGATGCATTTTTATTTTCTTACTCCATCCTTTGGATAAGGGGTAACTGAGAGTAGGCCTTTCCCCAAATCCAGAACTACAAAATCTGAGTGTTTTTACTGAAAATGTGATATTTCTGTTTTCAGGGAATAGAACAGTTGAAAAAGGAAGAGAGAAGATGGGCTAAAAAAACAAAATGGATGAACATGAAAGCAGTATTTGGCCATCCGTTCTCTATAGCATGGCTTAGCCCATTCGCAACACCAGACCAAGGAAAAGCAGACCCGTACCAGTATGTGGTCTGAGGAATTCTTGACCAGCATTTCCACTAAAATAGAAACATAATACAGCACTACTGTTACAAATTTTCCATGAATGTTTAAAAAACAAAAAGCAAAACAAACTTTTTTATGTCTATTAAATGGCTGATAATTGCAGAGAAAAAAAAGCCCTGTATTCCACAGGTTTAGATAATTCTATATCTCTGGCTGAAACTGCTGCTGCTTTTTTTTTTTTTCCCCTTGGTTTTCTTTTTTTTTTTTTTTTTTTTAATCTTGTTAACTTTACTGGCCTTTGTTTCCCTCTGCTTTCTGTATGGCGTAACTAATGTGAAGGGGATCCTCTTTCTCTGTTGTGACCCGCCTCTTCTGAGTAGATTCTCATGCTGTCTCCTGACTGTGATGAGCTCTGTGGAAGACATATGAGTGCCAACAGCCCTACACAGACACCTTTGGACTTCCTGAAGGAGCACATTGCTCTTTCATAAGTGAACTTGAACGGGGAAGCAGACACGTCACTTACCAAAAGGTGCAAGATGAGAACGCAGCACAGCAAAAGAGCCAGTTGACCTGGTGATCGCGTACAGTTAAAGTATTTAAAGCAAACGTTGCCAACACCAATTCCCACCCCACCCGCCTTTTTCCTTCCAGCCACAGAACTGATTCCATCTTTCTGGCATTATTTTGTCTGTTCCCTCCCTTGCGCACAGGAAATTGTTGCCCTCTTAGGATAACTGTGACAGATTTAGAAGAGTCTGGATTATTAAATGCCTTACACTTGCAGGAAAGAAAGAAATCGAATTTTCAAGTGTTTAGGATAGCAGAATCATCTTGTTTGTGTGTGTTTGTCTTGGTAAATGACTTGTTAGGGAAATGCCTGCTAAACAGTGTTAATGTGAAAAACTGACATGAATGCCCAGATCGCTGTAAAGACTAATATTGATGGGATGTGTAGGTGTACCGAGGTGGTTGATTCTATATTCTTAGCATTGCCCTGATTTAGAGCTTTGTAAATCTTGTATTTATACATACATGTGTATGTGTGTAAGCACACGCACATATATGTGTAAGTGTTTGAAATTGGGAAATACTTGTGGTAAGGAGCATGCATACTGTTATGAACTGTGTGGTGATGAAAGTGGGAGGGACAGAAGGCATTCCAAAAAACGGGTAGAGCTAAACCATTCATAACTGCAACTGATATCTTGTTTTCAGGCAGGAATTTTATTTTATTTTTGGATCATGACTCCCATGGGCTCATCAAATGAATTGCAAACAAAGGAAACATACAAATCAGTCGTGTCCATGACTTCCAAGGAATCTTTTCGTTCCTTGGTTTAAAATAAAATGGTATTTTTTTTGGAAAATGACCTGTTTAGACTGCTTGAAAGCCATGGGGGAAGGGAGGGAAATCAGGGAAGGAGAAATTTAATGGATGTTTCATTTTGGAAGTAATGTGAATGCTGCATCTTTTCAATCTGTCAATGCTTCCATATGGAAAACAAATGCAATAAAACTTTTCCAAAAACTTGTTTGCTGTTCTTATTTTCTTTCTTCACTTCAAACGCTGGAAAGAATCTCTAATGGTTTTCTGAACTTTCACTTCTGTACGCGAGCAGGCAGAAGCATATAAAGGTTAATTAACTGAGTGTTTGACTTCTAAGTTTAAACGTCAGTTAATCGCTAATATACGGATCTGTTAATCGGTGGTTTTATTTCGCCGCTTGGAAGAGACTGTAACTGCTCTGCTGCCTAAGTGGGCTGCTTCTGCAATCCTGCTTGCTCAGGGCTAGATCCTCCGGAGCACGCTGTGATCCCTGTGGTGGATCTGCAGATCCAGGGCTGCACTTGTGCCCGAGTGGGATGGGAGCATTGCGTGGAGGAGACGTGGCCTTTGCATACACATTTCCTTAACGAAGACAAATTCAGGAGAAGTTTAGGTTTTGGTTTTATAATGCTGATAGCAGAAAGCTATTGAAAATAAATATGTAACTCTCATTTTAGTATGCAACGGTGTTTTTCAGAGAATGCTCCCAGCTTAAGAGTTAAGGGCTGGATCTTTGGCCGGGGTCAGTTCAGCAGGTGAGACAAGTGCAGGTGGTAACTTGAGCTGGTAGAGAATCCAGCCCTAAAGCTGTCTTGATGCAAAATCAGATGTATTGAGAGGAAGGAGGGGCTTTAGTCACCTGGGCAATTAATAAATGAATGCATCTCTCTGTACAGTTCATTGCTTTAAAAATTGTTTTGATAATAAACTCCCCTGGTGCACACTCCAGTTTTTGTCTCTTACAATTACCCTTATTCACTGTGCATTTTGGAAGAAGATCAGTTACATTGTTCTGGCATTTTGACCATTGTGAAGAAATGTGTAATTACTCAGTTTTTCTTGTTTCGAACAAATGAGAATTGTTAAACAGCGTTGCACAATATTGATATTTTCAGTCAAACTGTTTTCATTTTAAATGAGGCCTCATCACCGCTTGCAGAAATGTCCACTGGTACCTGTCGTGTGTGTGTCTCTAACCAGTTTCACGTGCACTGTGCAGCTTGGTGGTGCAATTTGAATGATACTAAATGTGGGTCAGTATTAATATGAGAAAGGCAGACTTGCCGACTTGCTCGTGGAAAGTGTTTTCTCAGGCAGGACTACCTGCTTTCAGGTGCTAGTTCTGTTTCAGCATGGCCAAGAGAAATGAGGAGAAGCTCGATCAGAGGCGGGGTGGTTCTTTTTTTGAAAAGCTGAGTGGTGCTCCGAGCCGGTGTGAGTGCAGGGAACTCGTTTGCCCAGAGCAGCTGTGGGTGCCCCCTCCCTGGAAGGGTTCAAGGCCAGGTTGGACGGGGCTGGGAGCCCCCTGGGCTGGGGGAAGGGGGCCCTGCCCGGGGCAGGGGGGTTGGAACTAGATGGTCTTCAAGGTCCCTTCCAACCCAAACCATTCTGTGATTCCGCCGTAGGGCGAGTCTGCCTTAACCGTGATTTCTGATAGCAGTGCTTCCCGCGTCTTCCCCTTAACAGGCAGGTTGTTACAACACTTGCCTCTTCTGTTTGCTCCTTCCTTTTGGACTTTAAAAGCGTATTAAATGCATGCCTGCCTTCTAACATGCAAGGTCTGTCCTGCAGATCGCTTCTGGGCCAGGCCACGCAGCCCAGCCTCCTCCTTTGGCGCTGCGGGCAATGGTGGGGGGAGCAGAGTATATCCTGCAGCATCACAGTGGTAACGGGCCAGACTTGTCTTACTGTCCCCGCCTTTGCAGCGCTGTACCTCTTACTGGAGTGGGAGCTTCCAGTATTTTATATTTCTTTGGTATGGAGGGGTCCCCTCGACACATCATGCGACTGATGCTACGTGGAGTAAGTGAATCGCACTCATCTCACAGGGGGCCGCCCCGATAGCCCCCTCCCCTGCCACCAAAAAAACTCCACCACTCACTCAGCCCGGGACATCTGTGCATGTCGTCTTTTTTCAGTATGTGTTCAAAATTATGTAATTTGGAATAGTGACAAATGATGGTTTCCGAGCACTTTTTTGTCAAAGTGAAACAGGGGCATGATGGGGGAAAAAAAAAAAAAAATGTTGGTTTAATATGAAACACAAAATTCTCACTGTCAAAAAAACTAGTGAGAAATTTTGAGTTTATATATTTTAAAAGAAGTTTTCTTTATACAGTAATGAAATGTCTTCAACAGTTGTGCATTCCTTCCGTCCCCCTTAAATTTTTCTTTTTTTTAAGGCGAAATGTCATGCCTTACTGACTGTGTGGCGGGCAGCCAAAATCAGAGCAGGATACACTTTTTAAAACTTCTCCTCATTTCCAATACCTGCCCTGAAGCGATGAGCGAGGTCAGGCTGGGAGAGAGGAAGTACTGCCCTGGCCTGCTCTGATTAACTGCTCCCTAATCTGGTATTAGGACGACCTCAGCCTGACCTTGCTGGGCCGGCTCAGAGGAGGCGAACGATGTATTTCTGGGGAGGGCAGAGAGGGGTTGCTGCCCAGAGACGTTCAAGATCTTTATTCCCGATCTAGATGCCAGCGTGGACCAAAATGGATTCCGCGCGTGGCTGGGGGCAGGGTTGAGGCTTGTGCTGCCAGGGAAGGGTTTAAATGCTTGGTGTCTCTTTCTCCCCCTGCCCCGTGCTACTTGTTTTCCTTCTCTCCAGATACTCACGCAATAAACGCCGCGGCCACGGTGCCGGTTGGTTACTAACGCGTTAGGAACCTCTGCAGTTTGCCAAGGAGCGGCCGACCACCAAAGGAGGTCTCCTGCTCGAAGCGGCAAAAGCGTCTGCCTCCTGGTTGCGCAGCTGGAACCGGAGTGTCCCGGAGGAGAAGCGCAGGCTAGTGCTAGGGAATGCTTTGCCGAGGCTCCGCTCCGCTGCCCGCGAGCGCTGCTCCTCTCCCGGCTTGCCCGGCGGGGAGGTAAGGACGGGCCCTGCCAGCGCCGGCACCCAGGGCCGCGTCCCAGGGCAAGGGATTTTCCCTCTCCAAAGCAGTCGAGCCCGCGCGCCTGCAAGCTGGGGAGCGGAGCGGAGGGACGCGTGCCTGCGCTTCGCCTTGCAAGGGGCGCGTCTGTCCGTCAGGGCTTGAGTTCTTCCCCGAATTGCATCCCCGAAGACCTCGATTCTGGCATTGCGTCATTTCTCTCTGCAAACTCCCTGGGTTTCTCCGAAGTCAGCAGAAGAAACGGGGCATGAATGAAGCTCACAGAAGCTTTGCACGTAATTCTTCAGTTTATGGTGTGTTTTCTCCCTGGGCCTGCTCGTGCTGACTCAACGTTATTGCACGACTGAGCTGCCTCTCCTTTGAAATGTTGTGTTATTTATAAGGCTTGCTCCGAGTGCAGCTGCGGTGCTGCTGAGCCGTTGCGTTTATTCATTTCCCCTCCTGCAAAACTTTGAAATGTTTTGTGGGTTGTTAGGGAAAATCGGCAGAATTAGGAGGTGACAAGTGTATTTTTCATCTAGCTCTTCTAAAACTGCTCTTTTAAATGGTTTTAACTGAATTTGCTCATTTTTTTTTTTTCTTTCCTTGAGCGTCTTAAAACTTGGATCCAGTATCCTTGTTTCTCTAAGACCAGAGTTTCTCCGTGGTCACTTGTATATCGCTGTGAGCGTATCATATGCAGCTGTAGATCTGGATTCTCTCTTACATGATACAGAAGATGGGCCTAAAAAATTGCGCCCTATTTCATGTAGGGGAAGCCTTAAAAAAATATTCTTAGTTCCTTATTTCTACATGGAGAAGACTACCAGAAAAAAAAAAGTGTCACTACCCAAATTTGATGCATCTGTTATTTAAATACAGTCAAAATATTTGCTTTACTAAAAGTGATATTCTCGGAGAATAAATCAGAACATTGTCTGGCCAAGGCTCCAGTCCCATTTTGAAGCCTCCACTTCCACCCATACAGATTTCCTCACCTCCCAGCGGGTATCTGGCTTCCATTGTGATTTGTCTTTGACAGTTTGTTAAATTGGAAATTGTGTTCTTCGATATTTGCTCTTAATTGGCACAGAGTCAGCTTGTTCTTATGTCACTTTCTGCTGACAAGCCTAGATATGGCGGTGGTAAATGCCTGATCACTGGAAAAAGTTGCACGATTTCGTCTGTATCTGAACTATTGTAAAAATGCCCAAATAAGGTGAAATTTTAAGTTCTAATTGTATTTTATTACTCTTTGGAGGGATGCAAAAAGCAGTGGGAGAAGATGTCCATTTCCAAAAAGGAAGGCTTTTAAGAAGCCATCTCTTTACCGTAAAGATCAATAGCAACTGATACTGAAATAAGTCACCGAGATTCAGAGTGTCTACTAATTTGGTCTTTTTTTTAGGGTTTCGTTGTTAAATTTGGGGGTGAAACTCGCAGTAACGCAGGATGTCTGTCTTCATTGTTAACTAAAATGTGAAAAACACGTTGGCTGTAGACAGGCAGCTTTGCACGTGCTACAGCGGTTGGTGCCCAAATACCTGCTCGAAAAGTGAGACGACCCAAAACTCTTCTCTTCTTGCAGGGTATTGAGCGTCTTAAAAATCAGAAGCCAACCTGGGAGAAGATCAGCGGCTGGGAAGGAATGAAGCTGGCATTCGGTGGTGCCTTCTCTTTGGGTTGGTTCAACCCTTTTTCGAACCTGAACTGCAAGAGCCCAGCGCCGGCCGAAGCGGCGGCAGCCGCTCCTGCGTCTGCAATAATGTCCCAAGAAGAAATCGAGCAGTTTCTCGCTCGAGATGTTGCCGTCCAAATGTTACAGGAATAAGCAAAGCATCCTCCACAATGTCAGGAGCAGCTTTCAGGTGTTTGGTTTTTTTGTTTTTTTTTTTAAGTAATTACTTGCGCTGGAGATTTGAGGGGTTGTTTTTTAACATACTTTTGGTGCATTGAGAAAATCAGGAGTATTTATCTGGAAGCCAGGAACAGCACTAGCAGAAGCAATGCAAATCTCCAGAGAAAGCTTTGTAAGTGATGAGATCCGTAAGCTCCTTTCTGGACTTGCGTCAACTGCTTTACTGAGCTTTTCTTATTTGTCCTTTAAGGAAAGTTTATAACTGTCGGATAGGTTGGTCCCAGCTCCCAGAAACGTGCAGTCCTAAGGAGTCTGGTTCATCTTTTGTTTTTAGCCTTTTGGAGGGCTAAATGATAAATCCTGTGCAATGGCCAGATTAGCCCAGCTCTAAAGGTTTCCTTGAAAAACACATCCTTCTTGGCTCATCCCATGGATGCTGCCTCTGGATTATGAAAGCTGCTGGTGCTCAGGTGTTAGCAGAGGGGGGGCACGGGGCTATGGCCGTAGCAGATGGGCGAGCTCACCCTGTCTGTAATTCCTTTGAGCTCTGACTTATCTCCAGGGGTAGATTTTAACCCTCTGTGCTTGTGGGGCTGCCCAAGGCTGGCGCTGCTTGTCGGAGCCGGCGGGCTGTGGCCAGCACAGCCGGGAGCGGGCAAGTATTGGCCGGGCTGTCGAGCTGCTGGTGGGGGGAGTCTTTGGCCCCGGGGCCGCGGTTCGCTGGCACGTAGGAGGTGTGGGGAGGGAGCTGCCTGGCCGAACTCTGCAGCCCAGAAAGCAGGCAGCTGGTCCAGGCCAGGCACCGGGGCTATTTCTGCGGTCGAAGAAGAAGAGGGAGACGTGAGCAGCCTGCTGGTGGAGGTACTGGCTCTCTCCATTTAACTTGTCTAATTTAGATGTCGCTCTTTTTTTTTTTTTTTTCTTGATAATTAGAATTAGTTGAGAATGAATATTGCCTCTTAATCTCACTGGTGTTTAACGTTGTACTATTAGTACTTGCCATTAGGCAGAGTTTCCTAACACTAATTTTGCAGCTAGCTCCTGGTAAACGTTGGTGAACCCACAGAGGGAAGATGCATCGCTCAAGGAAGGTGTCACTGCGGGTGGCAATAGTTGCAGCAAAGTCTTGCAGAGGTGATGCTAGCCGCTGCATTCAGATACGCTACAAACATCTGGCATGCTCTAGATGTCAGTGTAGTTTTAATTTAGGTTGGTTTTAATTTTTTTTTTTTTTTCCTTCCTGTTGTCTCCCTTAGCTTAATGGTCAGTAAATTTTGCAGGATATTAGACACGTGCTCCTGGTTTTCCCCCACAGGACATGCCTGATTTTATCTCCCCCTCCCCTGTAATGCAGACCAAAGATAATTGCTTCCTCTCGAAAGTAAGAGAAAGGAGTTTTGAGGATGAAAGCATGGTATTGTGAAAGACCTATATGAAGTTTTTACTATTTATAGAAGCAATACCAAATTAAATTTGTACATTTTTTTTTCTTTTTTCCCCCTAGAAAAGTATCTTAATAAGAATTAATTGTGTGACATTCAGGGCTACTGGGGAAGGATGGGATTATCTCTCGGACTTGTCCTCTGCCACAGCAGTCCCTTTTCCTGGCAAAGTGTCTGGGAACAAGTGGAATGCCGTGACTGTTAGGAGCACAGCTTGGCTAAAACCCCAGGGGTATTTCCAAACAGTCATCCCATCCCCTAACCCCTCTGGATGTCTCCTCTTTTGTCAATGAAAAATAGATTTAGAAAAAATCATTAGGAACTGTGTATTTATACAAACCTTTTTAGTAAAGGGAAACACCCTGCATCTGGGGGGAATTGAGGTGTCCTCTCGTGTCATTTAGACATGAGGTCTTGAATGTCTTTCCCAGTGCAGCAGTGTGATAGTGAGGGAAGGAGCTCTCCTCCTTCTGCACCAGCCTATGTTCCTCTCTGTCAGCGTCCCACAGCAAAGGGACATCAGGGGCAGACACAGATCTGTAAAGGATTTCCCTATAGGGAGCAGTAGGGATGTTGAAGTAGGAAAAGCAAGAGTACCCTTTTTAGCTCATGTTTTCTAATTTTGGCTTGCTGCTCGGCCTCTGCACCCAGTTCACATCCCTGCCGCAGGTGCCGTGTCTGCAGTGGGAATGGTGCTACAGCGTCCCACGGGGAGAAACCAGTTAACGGCTGAAAATCACCTTGAGGCAGGCACATGGGGGTCTCAGATTGGGAGGGACCCCCTCGCACTGCGTTTTGGTGATGCTCCTCAGGACGTGGACCCCTCTTACGTGGCTTCAGGTAGGCATGGACGGAGGCAGCGCCTTTCCTCCTTCGCTCTCAAAGCTGGTTCACCTCGTCACGAGAAGAGGCATCCTTCGCTTCTGTTTCCCACCTCCCGTGTTGTTCCTCAGGTGCTGGCAGTTCTAGGTTTGGTTTTTTGTTTTTTTTTTTTTTTTTTTTTTTTTAATAGCTGAGAAGGAAAAGCAGTGTGAAGAGGAAGGTGAGAGTCGGAATGGCCACCTCCCTCCCTCCCATAGCGCGGTTACGGTCCGAGTGAGAGACGGGGACATGTCCCTGTGCCTTACCCAGAGCCGTGGGCAGCCAGCCCAGCCCCGGCTCTGGTGCCCACCAAAGCCTGGTGGGATGACTTCCTACATCCAGCAAATCAGTTCTGGTGTCTCTGGGCTGTCGGTCTCCCTCATCCTCCTCTTCTCCCTCGCCCCCAACCAAGTCCCAGTACCCCTTGGTGCTCCTCTCTGTCTCGGTACAGTGTGGCAACTGCCAGAAATTGCAAGAGTCTTCACAAGTTGGAAAACGGTTTTAGCCACAGCTCTAACATAAACTTCCTTCTTTCATGACTACCTGGTAGCTTGAGACCAAATGTGATTTTCATGAAATTGAAACCAAACCCACCGTTTTCCTTCCCTCCACGCACTCCTTGCCCCTTGTTAAATTGTGCCTTTTGTCTTCAGGCCATGCTGCTATGGTCCCGGCTGGCTCGCCGGGCCCCAGGGAAGGTGCTCTTTGAGAGCACGCTTGTGGTGCCACAAACACGGGGGGGGGGCCAGGGAGGGTGCTCCCCCTACACTGCTCAGTGTGACATGGTCTGCTAGAGATCCCAGCCCTGCTCCGGCATGGGGTGTCAATACGTGATGGACAGGGTCACGGCGGACGTGGAAAGCGTACTTATACTTCGTATCTGGTGTCTTCTACAGCAGATTTTCTATGCAAGTAAAGAATACAGTTTTGTAAATATATATATTTTGCTGTTTGTAATTCCTTTTTATGCCTCTGGCCATTATTGTACTTATTAAAGAACTAATACTTCATCTGCCAAGGACCACCTGCTCCTCCCTTCCCCGCGGGCACCCTGCACCCGCTCTGCCTGCAGAGAGGGGCTCCTGCTCCCCGCCGTGCCACCACAGGAGATGGCCTTGTGGGGACCCAGCCCTGCCACAGGGTGCTGGGACCCCATGGGCAGGGGGGCGGCTGGGGCTGGGGCAGCCAGACCACCTTTTGTGGCCCAGCAGTTGCCTGGGCACTCCTCCAGGGTTTGAAACACAAGGGAGGGGTCAAAATGTTGTTTTGTTTTGTTTTGTTTTGTTTTCATGCTCCCTTTTCCCCTCTTCCCTTTTCCCCTCTTCCCTTTTCCCCCCTTCCCTTTTTTCCTCTTCCCTTTTTTCCTCTTCCCTTTTTTCCTCTTCCCTTTCTTCCTCTTCTCTTTCTTCCTCCTCCCCTTCCTCTTCCCCTTCTTCCCCCTCCCCTTCTGTGAGCTGGCACATAACCAAGTGTAGTCACCACTTCTTTTTTCCACTCCACAGCCCTAAAGCTTGAGGATTTGCCTTTTAAATAAATAACCCCCTATACTACCACATGGCTCAGTTTCCTCTTTCCTCACAGAAATGCTGGAAACCCCAGTGCCTGACAGCTGCTGGCCACGTCATGGTGATGCCATGGGGCAGAGCAATCCCTTGCTGCCAGCCGGCTCAGGAGGTGCTGGGGTGTGCAGCACAGCAGCGGGCTCCAGCTGTGCACAGTTGTTGTCTCCTTCGACATGACCATGGCTGGAAATGCTCCAGATGCACACGCCACCATCAAGGTCCTACCTGTAAATCCTGCAGCGTTCGGGGTGAAGGGGTGGAAGTTACACATTACTAGGGAAGCACGGTTAGTGCTGCTGGAGATGGTACTCCTTCCACAAATGCCTGAAAACCCCCCAAAAGAAATTGGGTGGGGTAGGAAGAAAAGGTATGAAAAACGGTGTTTGGGGAGACTGTGCTAGGTTTGCTCTTTTTGTTGTCTAAAGACAAAAAAAGGTGCAAGCCGGTACATTCCCCAGCTGGCTAGCTGGGAGGGAGAGGGAATCACCCGGGAGGGATTTGCTTAAAACTTCCCTTTTGCCGCGCAGCAGCCTGTGGTGTGGTGAGGTCCCTGGGGGCCTCCCAGCCACAGCACTGCTGGCCCTGGTATCCGAGGGGCTGCACAACACCCCCGGGCTCACCCCCACCGCCGGCTGACGCTGGCGCCTTCGTGAGCTCCGGTCCCTGGCCTGAGGTGGGAACGTCCCCTCGCAGGTTCGGAGCCATCCCAACCCGGCCATACCATCCAACCCAAGCACACAGTCGATTTTAACCATCTTTATTGAATCACAATTAACTGCAATCAATGCAACCGTGCCCTTTTAAGTCAGTTTCATTCCCTTAGCTTAATGGGATTTTTGCGCTTTACTTCTAGAGTACTATTTAGCAAATAAGGAGGCAAGAAGTGCCTGAGACACACAGCGGTGCTGCGCATTCGGCGAGGCCGCCGTTTACAGCCCGCCAAGGCGCAGGTCCTACTCGGTGATGGTGATGGCCTTCACTGCAGAGATCGCTTTGATCTGGGTCGAGGTCAGCTTGGCTACTATTTTCTTCTCTCCTAGTCTTGTCGGAGTGCATATTATTTCAGACTTAATGATCTTACCAGGCTTTACATCCCTAAGGAGAACGAAAAAATAAATAGTCCCAGCATGAGTTATGGTTCTTATTTGCTGCTTTCAGATCGTTTTCCTTACAGAAATAGCTGCTATGTGCATTTAGGGCGAGTGTTTCCCTTCTCCCATGACCAACATGCAGCAAGGGGGGCTCGGAACGGTGGCACTGGCTGGTGGTCCCGGTGATCCTGGGGACCTTCCCCAGGCATCCCCGTACCCCTGAAAACTAAATTTGGCTCTGAAGGAAGCAGCTGTGTTCACACCATCTGGGCAGCACCCAGCATCACAGCAGGAATGTGGGAAGAGCTCCTGTTGTGCCCAAATGCCCTGAGCCTGCCAACCTCTATGTGGGTCTTTCTGCTGCGTGGACTGCACCCAAAGATGTCGTGGTTTCGAACATGGCTTGAGGAGGGCTGTTAGTCCAAATCTCCTAACTGCTTCTTCAAGGGAAATTAAAAAAAGAAGAAACAATGCAGAGTCCTGCCATGCTCCTTTCATACTGGGTTCATCCCCTTACCCCTCATCAAATGTTGACATCTTAAATATGCCCAAGCCTTCCACCAGCAGCTTGCAGTTGTCCATGGGCACATTCAGCTTGTTCTTGAAGATGAAGGCACAGGCGAATTCCTTGTTCAGTTTGGCTGTTTCTGGCATCTGGCAGAGGAAGAAAGAGGGGAACAAACCCAAATACCGGGGATCAGGCGGGTAATAAAGATCCTGGAGCTGCTGCAGGTTTGCTTCTCACCACCAGCATGGTACGGGGACTAGCCCCTCATATCCTTTCTGCCATCCTGCAGCACTGTGTGCTCTGCCCTGCTGGCTGTTTTCCCAGCTCTTCTCTGGTTTCCTAGCATGTTTCTCCTTTAGGAGGTAGAGCTGTGGGGTCGGAGGTGGACCCTGCACAAACTGCACTCTTCCATCCCTTTCCCTCCAGCAGCCCCTGCCTGCCCGTTTTAGATGGGGCAATAAATCTTAATTTCCTCTCTGCTTTCAACCTTCAAATAAAGGCTGAATAGCCAAACAAAATGCTAAGGACCGAGCGTCCCAGGTGGCGGCTGTATGGTAGATGCCCCTGGGAGTGCTAACACCAACATGGTGCTACAGTAAGCAGGGCTTTAACCCTCGTCCCCAAGGAGCCGGGCTGGCGGCTGCCTCACCTGGATGGTGATGGGAGGGTACTCGAATCTCATCGTCATGTCCTTGGTGAGTTTTTCACCCACCCCCTGGACGTCGGCAATGGCGGTGATGCGGATAAGCACCTCGTCTTCCACTGAGGCCAGAGTCTTCATGTACGCGTCAGCAGCGATTTTCAGAGGGACCTGCATCTCTGCAGGAAAGAAAACACCGCTTGGTGCTTCATCACATGCCTGGGAACTGGGTGGCAAAGTCAGCTCTGGCGGCTGGTGTCGCAGGGTGCAGGATGAGTTGTATTTGCTGAGACCTGGGGGCCCTTCAGGGCCGTGTCCCCAGGGGTCAAAGCGCTGGCTGGGCGGGTGGTACCTGGCACACGCAGCTCAGGGGAAGGGTGGCTGAGCCCACGGGAAGGGTGGCTGAGCCCAGGGGAAGGGTGGCTGAGCCCACGGGAAGGGTGGCTGAGCCCACGCCATCTCCCCACCAAGCCAAATGCTGGCTCAGGCTCAACTCCAGCGTCTCGACAGCCCTCATCCCTGGCTGCCCCAGCACTCAGGAGGAGGCAGAGGAGCGTGAGGTTGGGTACACTTAAGCCTGTGTTCCCTGGGATTTCTCTGAGGCACTGCTTGCTATAAAATCAGCAGCTTTCCTTTCGCTTCAGACATTATCTTTAATTGCCTGGACAAACTTCCAGTGGCTTGGAAAAGCCCCAGAGTCAACAGCGCTGGAGCCCGAACATTGCTTTAGCCGCAAGGCCTCCTGGCTTTAGGAAATAAAAAAAAAAAAAAAGCCCATCCTTATATCCAAATGTATGTAGCTACCTTTGTGCCTTACTCTGCTGCATTTTGACAGCCGTGGTATATGCATGAAAACACTCAGCAATCACCAGGAGCAAAGATTTTTTTTTTTTTTTTTTTTTTTTGCGAGAGTGACTCACACTTGGAATGAGCAAGTGCTGTTAATTATTCATCACTCGTTAGTCTGTTGTTTAGCAAATTTCAGGCACATTGCTGGTGCTCAGAAATGCAACCCATTTGAAGATACGCAACGAACAGCAAACAGCTCTTGGGATAAGCCAGGCAGGCAGCCATGAGGTTAAAATTTGCTTGGGCGAAGAATTCAGAAAATAACACTCGCCACCCACTCATCAACATCAGAGCGTCAAGCACAAGAACAAAAAAAAGGCTGAAATTTCCAGCCATCTGAAACCTGTGAGGGATCTGGCTCATACAGACGCACCCGAAGCCTGTGGTGGCATCTCTGGTGCTTACACGGCGAGGACGGGAGGGAGATGCTCCAGCACACCTCACTCGCCCCGTGGAAATGTCTGTCTGCCCACACTGATGCAATTTCTAACCATTTCTCGTTGAAGCTGTGGCACGGACAGAACCTTCACGTTTTAGTCCCTGCTATGGTGGGATGCCAGCCTACAACTGAGAGTCCCAAATGCAGCAATAAGAGAGGTAAGCAGCAGGCAGGCCATTTCTGCTCTTGGTGCCCTACAGAGCCATGCACCGGAGCTGTTATGAGCTAGCTCGAGTGAAACCCCAGACTGCCGCAGTAAATAGTCCAAAGAACACAGCAAGCTTTCCGTGCCTACCAGATTTGCCTTCAAGCTTGACGGTCTCGTTGATATATCCGAGGTTGGCCTCAATTTTCCCGGTATAGGACTGCAGCTGGCAGGAGCCGGCAAGATTGATGGTCCAGCTCCCAGAACTAGAGGTCTTCACTGTGATGGCCAGTTCAAGAGGATTGCCAGGGTACAAAGGTTCTTTATTGGTTATCTCAAGCTGGACCCCAGTCTTGGAGACTGCCTCAGGCAGGTCTGCAGGCTGGGCGGCCGTGTTACGCATGGGCACCGTCGAGGCGGCGCGTAGATGAACTGTCGGTTCTGAAGGGTGTATGAAGGAAGTAGCTCTCTCCATGGACTTCCTTTCCTCTTTGGAGCCTGGATGAAAAAAAAAAAAAAAAAAAAAAAGATGGGTGATAGCTGTATCTCAGTCTCCTCACCCAGAATCACCTTCCCTTTACTTACGCTTCTGCTGCTGAGCAGAGAGGATTTCAGGGCACCTTCTGCCTCTGCTCGGGAGACCCTCTTGCTTTACATTACCACCAGATCTAACAAGCATTTTGGTCTGGAAAAATTGCCTGAAGGCGACACTTTTAGAGGATGTATGCTCTTACATTTTTCAGCCCAAGATTTTCCCACTCCTCACTGGGAAGATCTAGCATGACATGGCTGGATCTGAGAACCATGGGGAGGGAATGTGATTTTTTTGGTTTGGTTTGGTTTTTTGTTTGTTTGTTTCCAAAAAAAAAAAAAAAAAAATAGTCTGGGGGAATGGATGGACAAAAAGGAGAAGAATGAAGAAATGAAGCAACGGGAAGTCTGAGCATGAGGCTGGTCACTCAGCCCATTTCTTCCCCTGCCTGCAAGCTTGCTCGCACCTGCCCCTGAAGAGCAGCGTGCAGATGTCACTGTGGGCATGAAGATGCCCAGGACCAGCGTCACCTCCCCTGGGTCTCCAGGCCTCCTCATGTGGCATTTGCCACTGCAGCTACCCCCACGGTTTTCTCCTGGAGAAAACACGCTTTATGGGGTGACCTGTGTGGCCAGGGGTCTCCTCTTTGGCACTACTTTAGAGGACGGGGGGCAGTCACCTTCGGGAAATTTGTACTGGGCGGTGATGTCTTCCCGCTTGTCCTGCCCAACGGCTTTTGTGCTAATGTTTATGCCGATGTCTTGGGTGTCTGCAGTCAGCTTGATGTACTTATCCTTGCCGTTCACGTTCTTGACCATCCAGTAGACTTTGTCAGCATTCACTTCTGCATACACAAACTTGCCATCAAAGGGCAAATACACCTCCCCTTCTCGAACAGCCTTCAGTGGGCATGGACCACACTGGAAAGCACCTAGAAAGCACATTCAACACCATTTGCTTTTCAAGATATGAGCAGAGTAATTAAATTTTTGTTCCACTCTCAGACCCACCCAAGCAGGAATCTGTGGCCATGGCAGCTGACACTTAGAAAATATTTCTCCAACTCAGTGATGAACTCCAAAAGCCCCCATTTATCCCATAGCTGTTTGTTTGGTTTTTTGTTTTTTTTTTTTTTTTTTTTTTTTATAGATGACCAAGGTCTGGTAAGAGCTTTTATGTGTTTCCCCTCACTTAAATAATTTTAAGGTTTAAAAGTCATGGCTTGGTGATGGAGTCAATTGAATTCAGCCACCTGTGTTTGATCTCCTGGCAATACACCACTTTCTGCACAGCCTTGAGGATTAATGTTTTCTTTCCTGCTTCTATATTCCCTGCACCTGTGCAGGGAGGGTAGTCACCAATTTTGGCAGTCACTCTTCTCATTTACCAAAGAACAGACTCCTGGCTTCCTCAGGAAAGCTCTACAGAAAGCATCTTTACTGGGGAAAGCTGTGGGACCTCTTATTACAGACTGTTTTGAGTCCTCAACTTCACCAAAGAAATAGAGGATGGTGGAAAGAGAAATTAGCTCTGATTTCCAGCTGTGCACTGTAAATGACTTTCATGTTCCCACAGCGTCCTGCAAGGTTTGTTTTCTGCCTGCTGAGAAACGCCGTTCCTCCCATCCCGGGCTGAGACAGCAGGAGTGAGACCTCCAGCTTTGGGATGTCACTGCCCAAGGGCATGAAGGTGTGCATGGAGAGTACGTGCTTTACTGACTGGGCACCATGGTTTTCATATGAAGAGTCCCTACCTCCCTTGGGAGTTGCAGAAGAGTTTTTCTAGGCAAATCCTACCTTGACTTCGCTCCTGGGGGGTTGAATCGATTGCCTGCCAGCCATCAAACCCTGCCGGCAGGTCTGTCCGCTTCATCCAGACATCATTCCACACATGGAAGTTCCTGCGTGCATTTGGGTTGGAAAGAAAAGGAGCGAGCTGTTAGAGCCCGAAGAGTTGAGATGTCCCTTAATCTTTAAGTTAGGGCAGGTTTGATGGGGATTTGCATGTAACCCTGTGAAACCCCAGGCTTTTTCTCTCTCTCCTGGGCAACAAACCCCAAGCAGTAGGGAAATTCTCAAAGGAATTGCTGGGGCTGGGAAACATGGCACTGCGGGGCAGTGCAGGGGGTAGGACACATTAGCCCCCTTTGGCAGTACCAGACAGAGTCGAAGGACAACCCTTCCTTTATTCTTCCGAATTCGTCCAGGTAAGTGTCAACTGTCAGGTTCCCCTCTGTATCGTGTGCCGAGTTGAAGTTACTCACGCAGCGGGATGGGATCCCCAAGCAGCGCATGACTGCAGCATAGACAGACAAAACACAGGGTCACAAAACCACTCAGGTTGGTGGTTGACTCAGGGGATTGTCTCATCCGACCCCCCTGCCCACCCAGGGTCCTCTAGAGCAGGTGACCAAGACTGTGTCCAGATGGCTTCTGAATATCTCCCAAGGATGGGGGCTCCTCAACCTCTCTGGGCAACCTGTGCCCATGCTCAGTCACTCTCACAGGGAAAAAAAGTTTTTTTCTCATGTTTAGACAGAACCTCCCATGTTTTGAGATGTGCCCATCACCTCTGGTCCTGTCACTGGGCATCACTGAGAAGAGCCTGGCTCTGTTTGCCCCGTTCCCTCCCATTTATACACAAGTAAGACCCCCTGAGCCTTCTCTTCTCCAGGCTGAGCAGTCTTGACTCCCTCAGCCTCTCCTTACATGTCAGATCCTGTCACCTCCAACACTCAGAGACACAGTAATTCGGCTTACTAGCACAGTAATCAGGATATCAGAGAAGGGGGACAGTTCATTGTTTACCTGTAGTGAGGACTCCTGCAAAGACCCAACATTGACCATAACAGACCGGCTTCTTCGTTTTGTAATACTGCTGCAAAATTGAGACGCTCCCGATCCAATCCAAAGGGGAGGTCCCGTTGTTGTAAATCCCTGACCAGTTCCCCATCACGACACCACTGTCATCATTAGCATTAACCTGTGGACAAACACACATGCAAAGGAGAAAAATATGGGGATGAGGCTGAATAGGGCTTAAACCCCTGGGTTTCTCCCCACCCTGTGGCACCCAGCAAGGCTGCTGGTGCTGGCTGGGGGGCTCCCCTACTTGGAAATCCTCCACCTGGATATCTTAGAGGGAGGTGGCACCCCTGCTCGGGGCAGCCAAAATGCACTCTGCACTTTGTATCTTAAACCCCAGGGCTCCAAGAAGGGTCCCACCACAGAGAGCAGTTGCCCCCCGAAACACAACCCTCATGTTGGCCCTGCCAACACAGCTGCTGAAGAAGGACAGTCACGGGGGCAGCTGCAAGCTTTGGAGATGGGGGGATGCTGTATTTTGCTCGCCTCTTCCCTCCACCCAAAATGCCTCTGGCTCTTTCCTTGTGGTTTCCCAAAGGAACCCGTTTTAGATGCATCCTGAAATGCTGTTCAAGGACCAAGTAAGAAGGAGGAGGGAAAGCTGGAGGGCCAAAGCACTTCTCTGAGAGAGGCATACCAAAGCAGACATGGCTCGGGACACAGACACAGGATCGCTTCTGGTGCTCAGCTTGAGTTTGCTTTTGTCCAGCAGATACATGCAGGCGTCCAAGACGAATTCCTCAAACTGTTTTGGAGAGAAAGTGGAGACATTTTTATACACCACTCTAAACCAGAATTTGCTCAATCACCACAAAGTCTCTATAAGTACTTGGAGGAAACTGTCAGACTAGTCCTAACTTCTAAACTTCCTTTATGATATTGAATTTTCAAGCCTACAGGGCTTCCCAAAGCTGTTCTCTCCAATGAAGGGCTTAAATGAAATCCCACCTTGGAAGACAAAAGCCCATCTCACGTATCTTGCAAACACAGTTGGAACCTGACCCAGCAATCTTTACTCCTGTGAATAGTCCTAAGTCACCTACGTCATCTCCCTTCAGCCCTGCAAATTACTCACAAGAGTAATGAAAATTTAAGAGAGCTACAGATATTCGGTCTATTGACATAGGTACAAAATGAACCCTGGGGAAGAAAGAAAGGTACATAAATGCAGATTATTACAGCATTCCTAATTAGCAATTGCTGATAAAGTTCCCTGAGGTCCAATTCACAGAGATGTCAAACATCCAACAAAGCTTGGCAGAATATCAATATAAATTCTCATTGCTTAACAGCAGAATAAATATTAGGATAGGAACAGCCCTGTGGACAATGCCCTTTGTCCCCTTTGTGGAAAAGGCATCAGTGGGAGCACTTTTTGCTGGGTATCTGTACCCTGCAGCTTGAAATTGCAGACTTACAAAACTAAACAAAAACAAAAACACGCACACAAAAAAACCCAACCCAAACCAAACCAAAACAACCAAAACTCAGATTCCAACAGGTTTTGGTGGGGAAGTCTGTCTGGATAGGGTGCAGGATGCTCCATTCGGGTGCCTGTGTGCTTCCTACAGGGTACAAATAAACCTGCTCTGGCATCCACTCGTGATATCCAGCCCGAGCGGGTTTGTCGTTCCACTCATCTCAGCGGCAGCGCGGAGGAAAACCCTTCCTGAGTGGGCAGGCTGGCTGTGTCCTGCACCCAACACTTCACCTCACAGCCGGTGAAGGCACAGCTTGACCAATGACAACCTCTGCCAGTGCTTTTCCCCTGTTTTTTCCCAATCATGATGCAACAGGTAAATAATCAGACTTTTTCCCCCCCATCAGCCCTCTCCATGGCTCACGAGCTGGTTACCGGCAGCTAATGTGTTGCACAAGAGCGGGGAAGACTCCTTACAGGATTTTTTTTCAACCAGAAATGCCCTGTCCCCAGTTACCGTGTCCTTTGCCAGGGGTCTTGTGATCTGGCTATAAACGTGCCATTAAATCCTGTTCCCCAGCTGTGGCTGGGGAAAACACTTAAGCACGCAGATTATTCTAAGCAGGTGAGCCCTCCCGGTGAAGCTGGCAGGATTATTCAAGCACTTGGAGCTACTCACAGGCTTAACCTGTTTATAGGCCTGATTCATTTAAAGGAATGCCTAAGGGAGAAAGAGCAAATAAGGGTAATAACGCTGACAAGACAGCTGTGTTTTACCTGCCCGAAATTCCAGGGTTTTTCATATATGCGGTATGCGGACCCAACGTAGATGTAGCCTGTATCATTGAGCACATACTCCTTTCTCTCCGCCTCGCTGGCCAGGAAGACGATGTCATCTGGAGCAAAAAAAAAGCCCTTCAGGTGTTAGGTGCTTTGCACACATGCTATACGAATTTTTCCTTGGAAAGCTAAACTGGGGGAGCTGGTGGTCTGTAACATTCACACCAAATGATGACCGCGCAGCACTCACATTTCTTTTTCCTATCATGGAAGAATTTCCTATAAGACTAACCTTTATTTTACTCCTGTAGGTCTATTGCTTTATGACCACTATCATTATTATATGACCACTATTGTGATATGACCATTATTTTAGCAGAACGTTTGTTTCTGACCAAACACTTTAGTGAACTAGGTAGACAGCAGAGAGAACTGGGGGACTGATGCCAACCAACACCACACATTTTTCTGACTGGTTATTTTTTTGTCTGGATTTTAAGCCGACCCAGTCCACCCTTGTGCTGGCCTAGGGAAACAGAGAAGGGTGACACAGAGGTGCAAACAGAAGTGACAGAGAGATGCCCCTTAACCCGTCACTGGGGGGTGAGGAGTGGGTCATTGCTGTTGCCCAGTTTCCCGCTGGCTCCGTGAGGATGCTGCTTGCAGTGTTTTCTGGGGGAAAAGCAATGTATGTGGGAAAGAGAGGAGAAAAAATGTGAGGAAAAGCTCCACCAGGGACAATCCCTGGCAGCAGTGATTATCACCCCCGGCTGCCGGACCACTCACCTTTGCACCAAGGATTGAACAGAAGGTACATGGAACCGTTTGGGGGTTTGTAAATGTTAGCCCCAGTCTTCACGTTCAGGATGTATTTTCCCACCGGGGCCCTGGGCGAGCTGGTGACAGACAGCAGGCACTGGGGAGGCAACGAGGAGAGGCGGCGTGACGGACCCTCCACCCCGGCCACAGGCGCGGGCACGGGCACGGCGCGCCAGGCCTGGCGCTGGCACCGGTGCCGAAACTGGCGGCTGTGGTCATCCGTGCTGGGGGGGGGGGGGGGGGGGAAGGCGGTGGGGAAGGGGCACGTCCTGCACGCTCAGAGGGGGAGCGACGAAAAAAACGGGGCAAGGCTGCTGCTCACCTAAAATTACAGGGCTAAGGGAAAGCCAGGCAGGGGTATGAGGGTCTGTAGCTCCTGCCGGGCTTGGCAGCGCTGCCCCTCGTGCAGGAGCACTGCCCACGGGCCCTACCTCTTTGCCGCTCTTCTTGACGATGGAGATTTGCCACCCGTTGAGATCCTGCTCCCGCTTCACGCTCAGCGACATCAGGGTGCCCCTGGTTTTCATTGGCTTTTCTCCTGGAAACGGACCCAGCACAACGTGGGGAAGGGCGGCGGGGGGCTGCAACGACCGGGCGATGCCCGGCAGCAGGAACGGGCGGCCGGAGGCTGGGGGGGCTCTGTCCCGCTTTGCCTGACGGCCGCGGGGAGGGGAACCCACTTACCGAAGCCGAAACGCAGCGAGAGCTTGTCGTCAGCCTTCAGCTCCCTGCTGAAGCTGAGCTGCAGCTGAAAGGCCTGCCCGCGCCGCAGCACCGGGCTCCCGATGCTGTACTCGTCCGTGTGGTGCAGGACGGAGTTCTGCTTCTTGAGAAAGTCGATCCCAGTGACCTTCAGATCGCTCCCTGGAAAGCCGTCACCGGAAAGGGGGAAAGAAGCAAAAAAAAATAAAAATTGATGGTAAATTCCTCAGTAAAGACAGTTTTCTTGTTCTTAGTGGAGCCCCGTGAGTCACCAAAACATCTAAGTGCCCAGTGATACAGCATGAGGAATCATGTGGAGGATCACCACAAGTAATGGATTGTACAACACTTTATATATATATATATATATAAAATAAAGTATAGAGTAGTATAATATAATATAATGTAGTGTAGTGTAATATAATATAATGTAGTGTAGTGTAATATAATATAATATAGTGTAGTATAATATAATATAATGTAGTATAATATAATGTAATATAATATAATGTAATGTAATATAATATAATATAATATAATATAATATAATATAATATAATATAATATAATATAATATAATATAATATAATATAATATAATATAATATAATATAATATAATATAATTAATATAATATAATATAATATAATATGATATAATATGATACAACATAATATGATATGATATAATATAATAGGATATAATATAATAGGATATGATATAATATAATGTAATATATACTAGGATATGATATGATATAATATAATATGATATAGAAACCATATAAATTTATTATATTATAATGTATAATATACAATATAAGCACTATAATAATTGTATATAATGATTTATATATTTTATTATATGATAGATATGTGATATTATAGTACAGTATAGTATGTTATAATATATATAATAATATATTAAATAATAGATCAACATAATAATATATTAAAACGTATAGAATACAATAATATATATGACATAACGTAACATATAACATAACAGACATAACACAATAAATACTTAGTATATGTGTATAGAGATACAGAGGGCCTTGCTGCTGGGATGGGTTACGGATGCTGGCAGGGGTGAGCGTGCTGCAGCAACCCGCCCCGAGCAGGGACCAGCGCCCGCCTCGCCCTCCGACCGTTCTCCCCCCGGCCGGGGCAGCGTGCCTCTGCCTGCCCCCGCGCCGCCCGGCGAGCCCGAGGGGCGTCCGGCCTCGGAGGTGGCCCTGGGCGAGTGGGGCATGAGCGGCTCGAGGGAGGTGGCAGCAGCATGAAGGTTTCTGCCCGTGCCCGCCGCCAGGCATCCCACCGGCATCCCCGCGCCCTCGGGGCTGGCTCCTCAGCAGCCAAAAAGCCGCAGGGGGGCTCCCACTGGTTTGGCAGTCCACGTCCACTGGCCCACCGCCTACCCTGTCATGCTGCCAGCCGGCCGGAGGGGCCAGCAGCCACGAGCCGGCTCCGCGGCGCGCCGTGGGCCGGGAAGCTGGCATGACTGCAAGTTTTGTCGCAATACTGGGAGTCTTACTTCTGCAAAAGTCTTGCTTCCCCCTCTCAAAAGCGGAGCAGGGGCAAAGCACCTGCATCCCATCGCTGCGGCTGCTGCGAGGCGGCTCCACTCCCCCGAGCATCTCGCGTGGGAGCCCACCAAAGGTCCTGGCCGCCGCAGCACCCCCGTGGGCAGTGCCCGTGGTCCTGCCACGACCTTGAGCCCTCTCCTCCTTGTCCCCACCTGCTCAGCTGTTTTGCTGGTGGCACCTTGTCAAAGCCGAGGCTGTGACAGCAGCTCCTGCTTGCTGCACGGCTGTGCCGTGCCGAAGGCATGGAGCATCAGCTCCTTGAGTATCACAGATGGTTTTTTGTTCTTGCAGGTATTAAAACAAGTAGTAATAGCAGTAGTAGCAGCACGGACAGGCGAAGGAAGCGCTGCTTGCCAAGGCACGTTCGTAGGTGCGGCCCCCACCTAGCACAGGGCAGCTTAAAAATTAAACCTCACTATTGGGACTTATATCTCAGCGTATTCCTCTCTAGTCAAAGACTAGCCTTATATTAGCATTGAACACATCCTCCGTGATTATCAAATAATAATTAATTGTTCCTAACAATTAATAATAATTAATTGTTCCTTACAAAACGTAGCACACATGGTCAAGCTGGGAGTAAACCGAATGTGCCGAAATTCGGCTCCCCTCAGTTGCTGAGATCCCCAGTGTCACTGAGATGCCAAGGGCCTGGGAAATAGGGCTCTTCAGGGCACTGAAGCTGATTCCTTGCATTTCCCCCTCGAAAATTAGTCCCAAATAATACCACAGCAGTCATTAATCAACCTCTTATGGAAATCTGCATATGTGAATCTTTGCAAGTGCTGCAGAGGTGCTGCCTGCCTCAGAGGGATGCTAAACGTGGGGGGCAGAGCACTATAAAGTAGAGTATAGAATAATATCGTATCATAGAACAGAATAGAATAGAATAACAATATATAAAACATATATCACATGTCACATATATAATGAAATATAATATAATGTAATGCAATACAATGTAACACAATGTAATGTAACACAATGTAATGTAATGTAATGTAATGTAATGTAATGTAATGTAATGTAATGTAATGTAATGGAATAGAATAGAATAGAATAGAATAGAATAGAATAGAATAGAATAGAATAGAATAGAATAGAATAGAATAGAATAGAACAGAAATACTCAGAGGTCACCTGAGAAGTCCCATGTCCCTCGGGCTCGCTGGGCGGTGCGGGGGGAGGCAGAGGCACATCGCAGTGGCCCCGGAGGACGAGGCAGGTGCTGGTCCCTGCTCGGGGCGGGTTGCTGCAGCACAGTCACCCCCGAGCACTGCCCCCCCTCAGGCCAACCCCTTCACTTCAGCAGAGTTTCGGTGTCCAGCAAGAGCCCCTGCCAGGTTCCCAATTCTGTGCTGATTTTGTAAGAAGACATGGCATTTAAAGATCACCTGGGCTGCTCTCTACTCCTGCAGATCGGGATGGGAGTGGGGCTGGGAAAAGCCTCAGCACCTCCGTGCCCAGCAGCTCGTCCTCTGGGCTGTGGCATAGGAGTGGGGCTCCAAGAGGCACAGCCCGGTGATGCACTTGAGCAAAGAGAAAGCCCTCAGCTTTCAGTGAAGATGGGGGTTTGGGCTCACTGCTTCAGGCTTTGGCAGGCTCCCCAGGTGTGACAGGGAAAGCTGGAGTGTGCCAGAATGTGGCTGAGCTATAGGTGGAAGTGTTTAACCTGTCTTGTACTTGCCCATTAAATATCCTTAGGATAGAGGATAAATTCTATGAAAACAGTAGGGAGTAACAATACTTCAAAAGCACTTGGCTCATGACTGATTCAGATGAAGATATGGGACAGTCAGGAAATGTTTATGGTAGCTTAGAAACTACCAAGTCAAAGGCATAATGGTTGAAGGGATTAATTCACCAAATGTCTTGACAGATTTGTATGGTACCAGGCAACTGTGCTAACCTGAGTATCAACAAGAGCCATCCCTAACACCGAAGAGGCTGAAATCTGCTGGTAGCTGCTGTGGCATGAGAGGTGCCACAGGCAGGGTTGGATCCAGGGCAGGCTGAAATCCCAGGCACGCTTCCCACTGCCACCTGCACCGGGCAGCGACCGCAGCCTTGAGTAAACTGAACTGACTGCCCATGGATCCCCACCAGATTACTACCTCCGTGTATTTCTGCTTAGTAACTATATAAACCATATTTATCTTAATTACATAACAGTAATCAGTGGTACAGCGAATCAACTTAAAATTGGCTATTACCTTTTGTTAACTCGTTTCATTTTTGAGTGCTTTTTGCTTGCTTCCTGCCTGTCAGATGCCAACCTCGGGCTGATGTTTTGTTCAACAGGGGGTGTGTATGTGTCAAAAAATTTCAGCTAAAATTGCTCAGCCCTCTTGAGAAGGATGAAGGGGAAATGCGTCTTCCTCAGCATTAATAAATCTCCAGCCATCAAAGCTGCTCAACCTTGTTCCTTATGGAAACCCTGGTGCCGGGCTGAGAAGCTACCAGAAAAGAGCCCTGGTGATGGGAGAGGGCTATGGAGGGGTGTGAGAGCTGAATGCATAGGATGGGTCTGGGAAAGGGCCCTGGGGAATCCATCCTTCCAGCATTTCCTAACTTGGGGACCGCCTTTGCACCCCCTGTTTCTGGACATCACCGACGCTGAGGATGCACAGGGGAAAAACACAGACTTGGGACGTGCCCTGACAGTGCGGAGCGCGGTGCCAAAGACCTGCCCCCACGCAGCACTGCCCGTCACTCACGCTGCGCTTGTACCTGCGCCAACACCCCCGTGATAACCTGTGATCCGGCCGGAGCGGTGTCCCGTGCCAAGGAACGCCGTGGAGCGAGCTGGCGGCATGCCCACCGCCGCATCCGAGGCGGCTCCCTCCCCGGGGACAGCCCCTACCCGCCGCTTTCGGCTGCCTGCTCTGCCTCCTGCCCGGTGCCCGCCTGCCTGCGGGCACCCCGCTTTGCCAACACGGGAATTATCGATTGATAGCAGAGCCAAGCGCGCCGAGAACGCACCCGCCCGCAGGACAGAGGCTCGAGCTGCAAGAGGCAGCCCCTGGCTGTGCTCGCCCCTCCTGGGGCAGGACAGAAGCAAACCCAAAGCCCGAAGTCTGTCAGATTTTTTTTTTTATCTGCCTTTTTTTTTAGAAGAAATTTCAAGGCATTATTTTTATTTTTACCTCCTAGTTCTATGATTTATCACTTACAGACCTCCTTCCCATGCTAACCCGCTGGCCCCATCGTATTGCGACCTGCCTGGGGAGAAGTTCAGAAATTCAGCCCTGGCTGTGCTCGCCCCTCCTGGGGCAGGACAGAAGCAAACCCAAAGCCTGAAGTCTGTCAGATTTTTTTTTTATCTGCCTTTTTTTTTAGAAGAAATTTCAAGGCATTATTTTTATTTTTACCTCCTAGTTCTATGATTTATCACTTATAGACCTCCTTCCCATGCTAACCCGCTGGCCCCATCGTATTGCGACCTGCCTGGGGAGAAGTTCAGAAATTCAAGAGCACAGTGATTGCCCAGAACAGAACCAGGGACATGAGGACTTTGCACTGGTAAGGATCTGGGGCCTTTTTTCCGTGAGGATAAAGTGATGGGGTTTAAAAAAAAATATTAACACGGAGCAGAGTGTTTATAGCATGCCTGGCTTTAGTGGGAACAAAGGCTGCTCAGAAGGACAGGAGGGAAGTGGGGTGAGAACTGCAGTTTTACAAGAAAGTGCAAAACCTGGACACCTGCATTTATTCCCCATCCTTGCCCAAACTCCAGGCAAACACCCTCACATCCCAGAGACATGAGAATACATCCCAAAGATGCTGCTGCCCAAGACTTCCTGGAAAATTTCAGATCATCCACACCCAGAGTAGGGAGGTGTGAAATGGAGGGGCTCGGAGCGGTGTCAGGACACCCCTCCCCTCCTGATGGCTGTGGAGAGCTGCTCCCGGCCCCGCTCCAGTCACCACCGAGCACCACAGCTCCTCAGCTGCACCCCAAACCCCAGGGGTGGTGGTTCAGCAGCTGCTACAGGAGTGACTCAGGCACCTTCCTAGGTAGGTGCAGGATCTTCTGACAATAGGGCAGGCAGGACGGCTGCGGGATGGAGCTCAAGTCCAAATAAATCCCCTTTTCAGTTACTTTGAACCTTCTGTCAGATGGTATCAGCCATCACTAAAGAGCAATAATCTATGCGGTTAAGTAACCTGAAAGAAAGGAATTCCTTTCACCTTGACACAGAACAAGTTTAGAAAAGCTGCATTTCTTTGACATTATCACCAATAGAGCCAGATGTCTACAGGTTGATGAAAAGCGATTTGCATTTTTCAGTTGGTTTACCGATATGTCAAAAGCAGAATTTGCGTAGCCAGAGCAAACCTATCCCCCGGGAGCAGTGGTGGCACTAAAACACCTTTCCCCAAGGTGTCATCCACAGCAGTCAGGGGTGTGAGAAACCCCCCACCTCCACGGGAGCTGCCGTCCTCCCTGAAGATGTGCCAAACAGCACATCTAATATAGGCGATCATATCAAGTGCTAAAAACTCACCAGTGTTATTGCTCATGGTTCTTGTCGATGTTTCGCTCTGAGGTGCCTGTGATGCCAGCAGCTTCCAAGCTCCTGAGTAGCCTCTGCCACTGGCTTCTGAGTGTGGAGAAGGAAGGCAGGCTGCCCTTTTTATCAGTGCCTCGCTCTGAGGTGTCAGCAGGTCCACTGCCAAGGGGTGGTGTTTAGAGAAAGGAAGTTCCCATGGAAAAAAAAAAAAAAATGACTACAACTCCCTCTGCACATAGTCAGACCCTGAAAAACAGCGAAACTTAAATCCCAACTCACGTGGAAGGTGGATTTGCACAATCCGATGACAGGTGGACAGACCCTTCACTGACAAACAGCAAAATCATGGGCTAGATGAGTAACAAGAATACACCTATGCCCTAACATCCAGGTTACTGGGACTGCAACTCGAGGGCTAAATTTACAAGGCAGCCCACGAACAATTCATCCTTAGGAAAACAGAGTTCCTCACTAGGACCAGTCTAACTTTCTTTGAAGTTAATGAGGTTTTTGCCACTGCATTTGGGACATAAGCATTTGAAGCTGTGGGCTAAATTCCAGCGTTTACGGATGTGGGTTGGAAAGGCCAAGGACCCTGGTGCTGGCCCCCTCCCCGTGCGGTCAGGTGGATGCCAGGGGAGAGAGCCCAGCGGGAGCGCCGGGTGGGGAAGAGGAGAAACAGGCCATGCCCAGGAGGAGCAAGAAATGTGGTGGATCAGGGGCCATTTGCTGACAGCTCTACCAAAGGTCTCTGCCCAGGAGGTGGCTGGACCCTACATGCCCCACTGCCACCCTGGTCTGCAGCGCGACCAAAGCTGGAGAGACGAGTCTGCCCCATGGAGGGCAGAGCAGGTGGCATACAGGCCAACAGTGCCATGGGGCCGGTGGCCAGAAAGCGATACAAACATGCCCTCAAATACCTCAAAGCGAAGAGCAGCTCAGCAGTGGGAGCAGCCTCAGTGTCCTGACGCCTCCCTTCACGGCTGCAGCCCAGGGTAAGATCCAGACTGCAGGGCTGGCGCATCCAAATGTAGGATCTCCCTAAACAAGATCTCCCCGTGGAAGCCTTCAAAGGCACTGACTTTTCTCCATCACTTCAGGTAGCTAGGTATTTACCTTAGGAGGACTGTTTCATTTGGTGCTGAAGTGTTGGTGCAAGCTAGGTGCTGAGTTAGCAGATCCCTCCCTTCGAGCATGTCACTGCTTGCTGGCAGGTGTATGTTGGGTGTCCTTACTGGAGAGCATGACTAGCGCATCACAGGGCACCAAGGGTTCAGTACACAGCTATAATCTCGCAGGACATCTGCATGAACATCTGAAACACCAGCATTCTTAGTGGATGGAGCATCACTCACCATTCAGCAACAGACAATGTGCTGGCAATTACATATTTCACTGTTGAAAAAACCACTACAACCTCAATTTACCTTTCAGTGTTGCTTTTACTCTGCATTTCTTTCTTCCTGAAGGGTGAAAGACATTTTTGTTTAGAAACAGCATGGGATCAAGTAAAGTATACATGGAATGTCAGTACAATAACAAATAATACATGTAATCTGAACATTGATGATGTCTGTTACTGGTTTCCACTTAAGTGCAGCAACAGAATAATCCACTTCATCTGAAGTAATTGACAGTAGCTTTCTAATCCAGTCTCAACTTGTTTATATATACATACATAAATATATATATATATACATACATATATATATATAATTCCATGCTTGGTTGGAGGCAGCTTAAAATGTGTTGACACAGTAGTCCTACAGAAAAAACTACAGATTTTTGCAATCAGGTATGGGTTGATGTCACTAACGCTTTGCTCCTGAAGAAATTTTGTTAGGTATGTGCTGGAGAGTCCGTAGCGGCGGCACGGCATGGATGTATTCACCAGGGACAGTCACATTTCCAGTCCTATAGGGTTTCGCAAAAGGCTGATTTCAACAGTGTGCCTGTTCTGACCCTCACTGTGAACCTCAGAGTTCAAGGAAAAATTGTAGAAGTTAGATGGGTGTAGGTTCTTCCCTGACATGAACCTACTCCTACTCTGTCCTGGAAAGTGGTTGACCTTTTCACTGCCTACAGGACTTTTTGGTTTATGTCAGCAGACAGCATCTAGCTTTCAGTTCTCCTTTCACTTTGTGCAGTTGCTGGTCTTGCTTCCTCCCATTATCTTTTCCTATGCACTGGTACTTTCTCAATTCAATGGCACCAAACTTGGCATATGGTAAAACGCTCCTACATGAGCTCCTCTCCTGGCTCCTACGAGTTTGCCTTACCAGGAAAGGCCATTAAACTGTAATATTCTCCGAGGCAGTTGTTGGCAAGGTCCAAGAAAGGGGATTTCAACTTACACTGCAGCAACAATTTTCAAAGACAGGGTTTCAGCTTGTTTCGAGTTGTCAACAGGCAATCTCTGTCCTTCCTATGGGCAAATCGCCTTTTGTCTTTGCTGGTCAGGGTGGCTAGAGTGGCTCACTGTGGTTCAGAGCGTGGCTCCTCCTCAGTGAAGCTATGAAGAATACTAGCCCCTTCACATTTTTTTTTTTTTCCCAAACAGTTAACAACAGTTAATCACTTCAATCTGCCTCATAAAAGTATACTCTTCTAATTAACAGAAACAGGAGATGGTATCTTTTTCACAGGCTATCTCCAGCTTACTACCAATAACTTCAGCGACTCACTTCCCTGCTTGCAAAATCAGACACCAGAGGCTATCAGCCTTATCTGCATCTATCTGCTGCAAGGTAACTCACCTTATTAGCTGGCATAAGAAGGTAATAAAATGCAAACAAATAAAATCAGAACTCTCCAGAGGCTGCTCCTCTATTTACAAGTTTGTCCTTTGTCTCATGTTTTGTTTATTTTGTGTATCAAAAATGACAAGAACAAGTCAAAGTTCCAGAGCATGACCACAGGTATCGGTGCCAAGTAGGAAGGACATGAAGTGCAACCCAAACCTTAGCTTTACAGTTTTATTCACTTGCGACCCCATGTCTAGTTATGGAGAAGTTGCCTTTTATAATAGCAATGTACCGACCTACATTTTTTATAACCACTTAAATCTTCAAGTTGCTTTTGTTTTGTCTTTTTTTCCCTATGCCCAGTCAGAGTAACACTCAGCATAAATACAGACCAAAAGCACCGCAGGTTTCGTTTTCAGCACGCTGGAAAGGCGAGCTCATCCTCCCAGCCGCCCCGCGGAGCACACTGCCCGTGTCTGGGTCCTGAGGGCCACCACGGCGAGATGGTGCCTCCCACTGACCACAGCTGGGCTGCTCCCACCTGTACCATCTAGAACGTGGGGAGTCCTTCCTGAATCACAGCCTAGGGAACGGTAAGTAATGAGAAGTCTTGGGTGGATAAAAAGAAAAAAAAAAAAAAAAAAAACCAACAGCGGAAGATCTGTTCCATCTCTTTTGAGCTGGACCTTATTTGAGGTGCTACGTTGGTCCTCCCCTCACTATTTCGTTATGCTTGTCTCTCAGTCATTAGGAATTTCCTAGTAGCAAGATGCATCTTGTCAACGTAATGATCCCAACATGTTAGTGCTGCTGTTACTCTGAAAGGAGAGTTGATCCGATCACTTCTCACTCGTGTACACCAACCATGGGCCATGACAGTGGCCTGTCAGCTATGCCCCGAGGGCACCCTGTGTTCCCAGCAGGCAGATTCTCTTTTAATCTTACATGAGCCAACTTGTGGCAGGCAATTGGATGTCAGGGCTTGATGCAAGATGGCCAAGCCCAGATCTTAACTGATTCCAAGTCATCTGGCTCTGGCTACTTGGTAATGAGTTTCTCACAGGCAAATAGCAGAGAAATGACTGATGCCAATAAAATTATTACAGAAATTCCATTGTTTCCTTCTCATTGAACCTTGAAAGGGTTTTTTGACCTGAAGTTAAGGATATAGGTGACTAGCTTCAGGCATTTTACCTCCAGAAGGAATGGAAACCATATCACTCTGTGACCAACCCAACGCCACCCAGGGAGTCTGCTCCTGAAGAAGGCAAAGACTGAGATGAACCAGAGACCATAACTATACATATAACAAATGTAGGCTTATGGCTACTCAGACAAAACACTCTTGTGTAGCATCTTCCCTGCCCTGAAAGAGAAGTCCTGTGGTCAATCACAGGAAAATGAGGTTTTAGTCCAGGCCACCTTGGAAAAATATAAAGCTGTTTTAACAGCAAGACAAAATGTTATAACGTTAAAATATCTTTTTTTGGTTATTTTTAAGATCCCCTTCCCTGGCTGAGATGCAGGAGGCAAAATTACAAAATCAGTCTAGATATAGGGAGCAACTATGTGTGAAGATTGCACTTGGGATTTCAGTACTATGACTGTTTGACCCTCAATTCTGGTACAACTGTTGCACTGGAAAAAACAAAATAAGCGTGCTCCAGTACTGAGATGACTACATTCTGTATTGGACTAAAATGACTCAGGATGAGGTACTTCTGCATCTCAGCAAAACATGCCTTTACAATTTTGTGCAATAAATTACAAAAAAAAAAAAAAGATCTCCATCACGTCACCTTTTCCAGACAGCACTTTTCTTTTTAATAAAATTGCTCCCCTTTTGAACTCAAGGAACCCGCCAGCCTCTGCTGCATCCTGCAGTGTGTCGGCTGAGTGACACACTGGAGGAGGAGGAAGCTCCTCTGGCTTTGAAGCTGCTGCTTGCTAGCTTCCCCCGTGGCCCCCGTCCTCGTGGTAGAGGACAGTCAACAGCTATCGCAGCTTACTTTCTCCATGCAGCTCATGGTCTTAGCCCCCCCTGTTATAAACCACCACCATCTCTTTTCCGCACTAAATGGTTCTAGCCTGCTAACTCGCGCCTCACACCTTCGTCCTACCCCATCAAAAGACCCAAGATGAGGGAGGAGAAGGACCCCCATGCCGTGCGATCCCGCAGCCTGCAGTGTGCGCTTGGAAAGGGTCCAACGGGGTGGGGGCAGTTACTCCGGGGCCGTATCCACCCTACTGCCACTGACCCATGAACTAGCTTCGAGTGGGCATGTATGACCACACTGACTGATTGCAGTGTGGACACGTGTCCACGGACTACACCTAAAGCAAACAATATGAAAAGGTACGAGGAAAAATAAAGCAAAAGAGGGCTGCAAAAAAGGTAAGGGCAGGGAAATCGGTAGTGCAAATATTGAATCGGGGATAAAATAGTTTATCTGTATATTAAAAACAGCTTCAGAGAACAAGGAAAATACTGACAGAATACTTTCCCACCTACAGGATATGTGTTTGGTTGCGCGTGTCTAAGTGAGAAAACAGAAACTTGCATGCCAGTGTCTTCAAGTAACATTTCTTTCTGCAGGGGTGGTGTAAGAGCTTCTCCCATCTGTCTGTGTGGGTGTGTGTGTCTATATACCTATCGATGCACAGAGTCTACAGACTATAGGTCAGATTATGCCATGCCGTATCCCCACCAGCCAGCAGTGTGACCGAAATCACTACGTGGTGGGAAGGGAGAACCCGGCGAGACCAGGAGGATTTGCAGGAAGGAGCTGGCCCCGCGCGGCGCTGGGGATCCGGCTCGCGCGCTATATGGGAGCAGACCCAAAGCACGGTGAGTGCAAAGGCTTTGGCTCACCCCTGGACATGTGGATGCCACGTCTGGCAGTCTCCTTGGGAAGGTGGGACTGACTGAGGGCCGGGATCTCTGGCTCTTTGTCCTGAAGAGCAACCGAGCCAGCATACACCCCTCACCCCTCTTTGCAGCATCCAGGCCGTTGTCCTTCCCAGCAGCACAAGGTGCTCTCACCTCGGTGGGCCACTGGAGTAGCTCCGTGCTCACCAACGTTTTTTAGGAAGCATTTTCATACAGCACTGGTTTCTGGCAGAGCCATGCCCGTGAGTTGCCTAATTCAGGAGTGTCCTGAAGGGAACGAGTCATTCAAAATACCTCCTCTCTAGATGAGGAAGGTCACTTGGCAGCTGGAGATGTGGCATTTGTAATGCCTCATCCTTCCCTGGGGCGCTGCTCACTCCTGCCTAGGTGTTGCCTGAACTTACTGAAAGCAA